AATTAACTATGGCAATAATAATAATTTAAGCACAGCTTCATCTCAAAATTGAGACGCTGATGTCAAAGAACTATGGCTGCAGCAGCCACTGGACACAGGAAGCTGAGAAGTCACTGAGTGAAATCTGGCCACGATACGCTTTTAGTCTCTCAAGGTCTTTGGAGACCCAGAAAGTGGGTCATCTTTTAGAATGTCTGCGTCACTGTGGAAAACATGTTAGTAAATCAAAGAACAGCTGGATTTGTTCTGAAATGAGGCAAAATGCTTACTTGCTTGGAAGTACTATTAATCCTTTCACGGGTCAAGAAGGATTGGTTTCAAGGTCTCCATTTGCTCTGCTTACTATCAGCATTTCATAATCTCGGTAGAGGATGTGTGATAGGCGCTAACTCGTGCTCTGGGAAATGAGGTAACTGCTTGATTCTAAGTTTCAAGACTTTGAAATTAAGACTCAAAGTTTTTTACAGAGTGAGTTGGAATACTGAAGCGATTATTTTAATGACTTAATACAAAATGATTATGCTTGAAGTATTCAGTTAATAAAACTGAAGCATTGTTCTGGATTGAATTCTGCAGATAATTCCACTTTTGGCAACAAGTAACAGAAAACCAATTTGAACAGGCTTAGACCATGAGGACATCTCCTGGCTCATGTTGCTGGAGTTCTAGAGTTACAGCAGCGCTCCACGTTGGCCCAGCCTGGTCCCAAACACCTTCTCAAGCCATGGTTCTCTCCATCTCTCCACCTGCGGACAGGCCCACCTGCATACTAGGTGGAGGAGGGCCGCTAAGATCTACTTGAGCCGACCAATTCCTTATGAATTCCTCAAGGACAGAGTGATGATTACCTTAGAGGGCATTTAAAGGACTTTTCCACAAGCCCTTTTCCCACTGGTCCACACTGGGTCACATGCCCATCCCTCATTGATTCAGATTCAGTCACATGTCCATCCCTCGTTGGTTCAAAATGAACCACTGTCCGGCCACTGGCGCAGCAGGTGGAATTACCTGGGGATAATCAGGCATCCACCCTACAACAGCAGTCAGTTCTCCTGAGAACATAAGTTGATGGAGTGCGTGTGTTGGGGCTTCTATTAAGAAAAAGAAAGGGAGAATTACTGAATCAACACCCCCCAAAAGTATACTAGTGTGTAAATTAAATCCTTTGCTTTAAAAGTGAATTGTTTGTTCTTGTTACAAAAATAGGTTTTAATTTTAAGAGAAGATTTGCAGTCAAAAAGAAACAAGCAAAGACCACCATAATTCCACTATCTAATAAGAACCATTAATGAGATGATACAAGCATGCTTTTAAACAATATATGAATATTATACTCTCATATTGCAGACACAGTGTAGCATGGTGGTTAGAAATGCAGACCTAAGTATACACCTCCTGGTTCCTCTATTAACTGTGTTTTCTCCTTGGTAAACTACTTAGCTTTTCTGTTCCTGTTTTCGTAAAAAAAAAAAAAAAATTATCTTGGAAGCCAGCTACTTTTCATCCATGCATACTTTAAGGCAGCTCTCACACTGCTAGGTTAGCTAGTTCCAACAGAAAGCCCACAAAGCCAAAAGCCCTTATTATCAGGCCCTTTGCAGAAAGTTTGCTGACCTCTGGCTGGACCCTGAGACCTCTGCTGTCTTGTCAAAATCAAACATGTCATATAGTGACTTGCCCAACTTAGAGATGGATCGGAAAAATGTGGCATCTGCAGAGCAAACGCGAAGGTAAGAGACACGCAGCTACTTTATCTTCGAAACAGGGAAGCACCACGAATAATTGAAAAAATCCACAAAACTGTTTACATATAAAATTGTTTACCCGAATTGACCAAAGAATTTGAATCTTGACACTGGATTGAATGAAATTGCATTTGTTCAGTCTTATTTAGTAGTGAGAAATCATAGCTGTAAGTGGAAAATAAGCTTGAAAAAGAAATGAGAGACAGAATAAACTGTGAATATTGCCCTTGGGGAGAAGAGATGGCCGCCATCCGCGTGCTCCCGCGCGCCCCAGGTCTCCCTGGAGACAGGCGCCCCTGATGACCACCACAAAGCCACGTCTGAGTTGTGGAAAAACCCTAAGTGAAAACGATCCCTGAATAAGGGATACATCCATCAAGGAAAACTGCTGTCAGATTATGGGGGTTTTAATCTTTAATTTAAAGATCTTTAAAAATCTAAATTATTTTAGTCAAATGGTGTTTTAACTAAATATTAGATTTTTAAAAACAAGTGCATGCTGTTTTTCTTAAAGATATACAGAAGTGACCATCTACCACAGAGTAGTTTTTTAGAATGGAAAGTTTTCTATATATTTAGCAGTGCAGGGTGGAGAGTAAGAACAAAGTCCCTCCATCAGCTGGCTGGGTTTACATCCTGACTTGGCTACTTTCCTGGTATTTCATGACCCTAATGTCCTGAGCCTTAAGTGTCTTATTTATAAGGTGGGATTAATAAAAAGCCAGTTTCATGGAGTTTTGATGAGAATTAAAGGAAATCATTCACATAGAGTATTTAGCCCTGAATCTATTTTAAAGCCATAGATGTCGGCCATTTTAATGTGGGCAATACACAGAAATCAGTTGTGGAAAACATTTTGATAATCAACTGTATGGTAATATGTTGTTACAATACACTCCATTCTTATCTTCCACTTTCAGTATCCCTGCCTTAATTTTGGAGCAGCAAAGAGGTAAACAACTGCTTCATCGCAGTCTTAGAATTTAGAAAATTAGCTCTACTAGGCATTGTGTTCGTTCAGGTACAGGTCATCTTGCTGCTAAAATAGACTCCAAAAATATAGCGACAGAAAGAGAAAAGTGTCCTTCTCCCGAACATGCCTCCAGAAGGGAGGGTCCAGCACTCACCTGTGAGGTCCTCCCCACTTCTCTTGCTCCTTTGCCATCATTGGGGCTGGGAGGCAAGTTCCAGCTCCTTCACCAGCCATTTCTTCTCCCATCTCTGCGGAAGGGGGCATGGTAGATGAAGAGTCGTCACCTTTTCAAAGGATGGGACCCAGAACTGGCCCTCACAGCTGCCACTTTCACTTCATTGCGGAGATCCTAGTCTCAGCCACCAAGAGTTGAAAGATAGACTAGAAGATGTGCCTTTAGCCAACCATGTGCCTGAATCGGTTCTCTGGAGTCTGTTTTCACAAGGGAAGGGGAAGGGATGGATGGCGGAATCGGGTAGCAGTCTCTCACCCGTGGGGTCGTGGGGACTATTGTTTGATTGACTCTTAAGACACAATTGATTGAAGATACAACATCATTTTATGTACCCCAAACCATGCTATTTAAATTGTGGCATATTGTTTTCCTATCAGCTCTGTTGTAGGACACATCCCAATTTAAGAGCTGTTAAGGTATGGGAAATCTGCGTCTTGGCACAGAAGGAATGGTGTTGGAAAGACTTAGGAAAGAAAGTAATCTAATGACTTCTATCTTGCAGTCTTTGTGTGTGTGTGTGTGTGAGAGAGAGAGAGAGAGAGAGAGAGAGAGAGAGGGAGACTTTCCTTAGATTATGCATAGGCAGGAGAGAGCAAACTTTTATTTATTTATTTATTTATTTATTTATTTATTTATTTATTTATTTATTTATTTATTTATTTATTGTGGGACCCTCCCCGGTGGCCGGGGATCTAACCGGCGCTGCAGAGGCTGCGGGCCTCGCAACCCAGCGCTCAACCACTGTACCACCAGGGGAGGCCCAGGAAAGAGCAAACTTTTGTTGATCCTTTCACTGTATTGTTTGGCATGGGGGGTTGACAAGCTCCTTTCAGTATGGATTTGTTCTGTTTGCCAGACTAAACTTCATTTGATCCGTGTGGATTAAATTCCTGGGACTTCTTGCTGATAAAGAGACTTTTGGCTCAAGGCCTAGGGGAAAGTTTGTCTCAGAGGCTCCTCAGTCTGGGCCAGCTCTGGGCTTGAGCAGGTAGATGGCAGGGCCTGCCTCTCCTAGCCCAGTTCTCACTTAGTAGAAGGACAAACACAGACAGTAGACATGGCCGGGCACTTGGCTTCTGGCTTCAGCATTCAATCTCCACCTTGGGATCACAGGCAGGAGACAGCGGCTTTGCTCCATCTACAACGTAGCTGGGTGGACACCAGGGGCGCTGTGCAGAGCCGCAGTGCGGTGCTGCCCTTCCAGGCTGGCGCTGCCCTCCCAGACTGGCACAGGCGCTGTGATAGAAGCCTGGGGGCAGAGACATAGATAGGGAGTCGTTTGTTCTATCCCGGCTAGAAGAGCCCCCAGGGGAGGTGAAACGAGGACTGGGTGGTCTGGGGCCCTCCCAGAAGAGGTAACAGCGCATGGGAAGGCGGTCTCCACAGGGACCTGTCCCTGCTGGCAGCGCCAGCCTGGAAGCAGCTGTGATTGGGGAGCTTTGTTGCCCTTCGTGCCTTACACATTAAGGAAAAAGACAATGTTTGTTTAATTGAACTAAAGACAAGACCAACTTCTTGGATGACCAAATAGAGACGAGCTGAATTTCCTTCGACCAGAAACTGGACACCAGATTCCAGCAAATGCACAGAAGCAAAATGATGCCTTTGGCCTGTGCTTGCTCTTGACCTTGGTGCCATTCTCTTGTTTGTCCACACAAGGTTTGAGGCTTCCACTGAAAAAGAGACACTTGTTGGGATCCCACCTGTTGTGGCTGCTTTTATGCTTCTTTTCCCCAAGTGAATAAATGCACAAAGGTGTTTCACTTGAGGCCCAACCTCCTTTGCTCATGGACTCAGCAGTTTAGCCCTGGAAACTGCTGAGAGCTCCCCAAGACTAGATCCTCAGCGCAGTGACCACATCTTGGAAAACATGGCCTCGTGGGAAGGCTAGAGGGCCAGGCTTGCACTGTCGGGCTTTGTGTGGAAAGCGACAGCCCCCGGCGCCTTGACCGAGCCCGTCTGCTCGGGCAGCCTCGGACCAGGCCGAGTCCACTCTCTGCGCGCGCTTCTGGCCGCCTGCGGCCTCTGAGCTCCCTTCTCTCCGCAGATCACGGTCACGGACGAGGAGGTGAGTAACCCGTCCTTTCTAGACCTGGTGAGGACGCCCCAGATGCGCAGGTGCACGCTCATCCTCATGTTCGCCTGGTAAGTGGGCCTCGGGGGGCGCGCGGCCAAGCGGGGTGTCCTCGGCCACGCGCCCTTCTCCGAGCCCCCCGTGTCGTTGCAGGTTCACCAGCGCGGTGGTCTACCAGGGGCTCGTCATGCGCCTGGGCATCGTGGGGGGCAACCTCTACATCGACTTTTTCATCTCGGGTGTGGTGGAGCTGCCGGCGGCGCTCCTGATCCTGCTCACCATCGAGCGCTTTGGGCGCCGCCTGCCCTTCGCGGCCAGCAACGTGGTGGCGGGTGTCGCCTGCCTGGTCACTGCCTTCCTGCCCGAAGGTAGGTGTCCCGGCCTCGTTAGCGGCCGGGCCCTTGGGAAGAGTTTGTCTGGTCACCCAGAACGGGGCGCCCTGGGCCTTGGGAGAGCCACCGTGGCGGCTGGTGCTGGGCGCAGCTGTCAGGGACGCAGTTGTTATTTTCCCCCACATTTTGTTCATTGAGATAAGGTAGGGGTACCTCTTGTATGAGCTCTGGGGGTGTTGGGTGCAAACCTCTACAAATGTGCACTTTCACACCCTGCTCACCACCAGACCCCAGCGCCACGTGCCCCCCCATGCGGTCAGTGGGGCGCCCCCGAGGCCCCCTCTGGTTCTCAGTTTATTGCTTTGCTTGATTCTCTGTTATGTTTCTCTGAATTCCGCGTTAGTGAGACCGCTCGGTTTGCTGCTTCATCCGTGGAGACTGAGATGTAAGAGATTGTTTCCATCAGCTTTTCTGTTTTCTGTTTTTAGGTTCGTTTATGAGGCAATAGAGTTGTGCAAAATCTAGCTCGTGGGGATGTAGTTTGCTTTTGATGCCCGTATCTCATGAGCGTTTGCCATCACCCTTCACCCCCTGCTCCCTGAGCAGCCGCCCCTGGCTCCCCCTGGCTCCCCCCACCCCAGCCCCAGGTGAGCAGAGGAAGGTGACAGGAGGTGTTGCCTCCACAGGTCACCCAGGGAGGCACCGGCCACAGTGGCCGCTCAGGACTTGCGCATCAAGGGAATAGGAAGTATTTACACGATTCAAAAGTAGCAAAATAATAATAATAATGATAATAATAATAATAATAATAAAAGAGACAGGTGGATGGTGTGCTTCCCCTGCAGAGCCAGGAAGAGGCTCGCAGAGGCGGGAGCTGCTGGTGAGACGGAGGGAGAAGCTGGCGGGGCTGGGAAGACACGGATGACTGTTCTGGAGCACAGGACAGTCCCTGGGAGGGACACACGACGAGGGCTGGGACCAAACCTCCTTTGTCTTGGCTGGAACTTGTGGAGAGGGGCTGGGCCCTGGTCCCAGGGCTTCCAGAGGAGCGGGGTGCACCTCCAGCTGCAGCAGTTTTGACGGTGGCTGTGGAGACAGGTGCTGGGATCAGGAGCCAGGGGGCGGCCTGGCGGGGAGAGGGCGGCTTAAGAGGTGCCCCAGACCTCCATTTGGGGGGACTTGGGGACTGACCGGTGACTCTGGGTGCCCTTTGCGGCGGCCCAGCTCATCCCTGCAGAGTCCACGCAGGCCGGAGGGGCGCCGGGTGCACCCAGCACTGTGAATTAGAGCATTTCATCGTTTCCACTGGAGGCCCTGGGGGTGGGGGGTTCCCCGGAGGGACTCTGTGGGCCTCTGTGCGGCACAAGGCTGTCCACCCTTTATTTGTTTGAGACTCCCCCGAGGCTCGGGAAAGAACACCAGGGTCATATCGTGCACGGGAACACTCAGTCTTTCCCGGATGAGTCTGTTGACCACGTGTAAGTTGATGAATTCCCACAACATTAGACAGACCCAATCCAAATAGCTTTTCAGAAATGCCTCTCTTCAGAGCAGAATTAAAAAACATAAAAGAGATGAACAGGCCCTCCTCATTCGGAATGGGGGCCGGGCAGCGCCGGGTCCTCTGCCTCCTCTCCCTGGAGGGTTCTGGTTTCTGGGGCTGCTGGACAAAGGACCACGAACAATAGAACATTCTTCCCACTTTCCTGGAGACCGGTAGCCTGGAGCCAGGCACCAGCAGGGCTGAGCTCTACCAAAGGCTCCAGGGCAGGCTCCTTCCCTGCCTCTTGGCAGCTTCTGGGGTGTGCTGACAGGTGGCTTCTTCCAGAGGCTCTGTGGTCCGGTGGGTGCCTCTCTCCTAGCTCCTGGTGGTTGGCAGCTGGCCTCAGCGTTCCTCACCATCCCGTCAGCCTCTGCTTCCATCCTCATTTGTCCCTCCCTGTGTGTCTCTGTGTCTTCACCTTTCATGTCTGCAAGACTGTTCCCAAATAACGTCACAGTCCGAGAGGCTGTAGGCAAGCATTTGGGGGTACTGCTCCACTCACTACATGGGCGTCACACATGCTAAGAGTTGGGGGGTCTGTATCATCAATCCAAGGCAACACCTGTCCCCCTCGTGTTGTAAGTGACCACCACAAAGCTAAGAGAGTGGACAGAGCGGCCACCAGGTGGACAGCAGTCCTGTGCCCGGGAACCGTGGGCCGTTTACAGAGAAGGGCGACAAGTCAAGAGCACGGGGGGCTTCGTTGTTTTTGCTTTACTTTGCCACCATGTGGTCTTTGGCTTATTTGTAAGAGGCAGTTCCCCGGGACAATGTAGACTAGGAGTGGAATGCGGATGTGGACTTGCTGGTGGAACAGGAGTTGGGGGTTCATTGCCTGTGAAATAAGGAAAGTGGGGAGATTGATGACTTCAGTGTGACCCATCACCTCATGGTGTAACTTCGCCCTGGAAGTCTTCTCTGGTCTCTGGGCTGCTCGGGGTCACTTTAACAGGCGGCCATTCAGCCTGACCCCAGAAAGCAAGCAAGGCCGCGTATCCAAGCCAGTGTTGAAGTGACCGGAGGGCTGGAGCCAAGCTTTTGGTAGAGAACACTTTCAGATACTGAAACTGTTTGGGCTGCTACGTTATTTTGTAGATAAAATTTCCCAATTTAAGTTTAGAAACATTCTTAGCACGGTTGGAATTAACTGCTCTTGCTTTGGACTCATTTTACGGGCAGATCATGCGCCTTGGGCTGCCATGAGAGTCACAGGCTGGTCTGTTGGACTGGCGAGAACTTTCAAATCCCTCGAGCCTCCTGTGAAGAACAGATATTAGCAGGTCCTCCCTTGATTGACAGGACCTTACTTTCATTTATTCATTTTTAAAGATTGATTGATTTTCTGCTTAGAAGACCTGGGCTGCAGGCCAGTTACTTTTGACTTAAAGGAGCTTCTGAACTCGGTTGCTGGGGCTGGTGAATTATCACTGGAGAGACTTTCGGCGCAGCCGTTGCTGACGTCATCAGCAGGGTGGCAGCCCCCGTGGAATAGGCCCATCGGCCTTTGCAGGAATCGGCTCCAGAATGACCCCCAGCAGGTTAGCTGGCCTTCCCTCCACGGACCACAGCTTCTCATGGTCTGAGGAATGAAATGTGGAAAGAGATTTGGCCATGTCCTCATTGAAGACTCACTCTTTTAACCCAAATTTTTGAACTCTAATCAAAGTCTGAGAAAGAAAACGCGTTCTGTATTCACCCCCATCCGGCATCTTTAAGTTTTTTCAGGGCGACTACAAACCTAGCAGTTTCGCTATGTCTTTCTTTTGACATGGAAGAGTTGCCTTAAGAAAAAAAGAAAGAAAATGTTTTCATCAATATTTTTTTCTCCTTAGGTGAAAAGTAATTCCATGGATTTTAATGGACATATCTCTATTAGGAACTTTCACTAGATTTACTTTATTTATTTTTATTATTTATTATTTATTATTTAAAGATTTATTTATGCATACAAGAATTGGGGTACAGGCCAGAGGTGCAGAGGGTGAGAGGATTCACCAGAGACAGAGCAGGGAACAGAACAGGCAGTCTGACTGAAATACACTGCTGAGGGGAGCAGCGGGCGAGACAGGAGAGGTCTGCTGCGCCGTGTGGGTAGCTTCCTGGCGGGGGATCGAACTCATGCCACAATGGCTGCAGACAGCTTCATAGGTTGCGTCTTAACCTCTTGCGCCACCAGGGAGGCCCCTATTATTTATTTTTTAATGTAGAAGAGCTGGGGTGTAGGCCAGAGGTGTGGGGGTGGAGGGTGAGAGGATTTACCAGAGACAGAGCGGGGAACAGAGCAGGCAGATATACTGAAATCCACTGCTGTGGGGAGCAGCGGGAGAGACAGGAGGGGTCAGCCCCCTGGCCAGGGCTCAGCCTCAGGCCGTAGCGGTGATAGCGCTGAGACTTAACCTGGGCCACCGAGGAGTCCCCTAAATTTTACTTTAGAGCTCTGAGCAGAGGTCCCACTGAGAAGAGAGGCAAACTGCACTTACTTAGAATCCTGCATCCTTTCTTCCGTCCTTGAGGGATTATTCCCCATAGGCTTTACTAGCTTGACCAAAACCCCCTTCGGAGTGACCCTGCTTCTCTGCAATCGCCTGCCTCCACAGAAGAGCTTCAGCTTCGAGGTTCAAAGGATGGTGCAGTGCTGTTGGCGGAGAGAAAGTCTCCATGACAGTTAGACAAAGAATTTATTGGAAAATCAAAGTGAGCCTTCCATCCCAGCTGTAGTCAGACGGATTTTACGCAGCGAGAACTGTTCCAACAATCTCAAGTTTTAATTTAGTTTATGTAAGTAGGAAAAGTGAGTCACCAGCATTAAAAATGTAATTATTCTTGACAGGAGGAGCTTCTGGTTCTAAGTTGTTTTGACGTAAAGATGTGTTGATGCTCCCCACGCGCGGAGTTGGCGAGCTCTGGGTTAATCACCCCCCAGGTTGCCAGTGCAGGGCTGTGCCCCTTGTTACGTCTTTATCAGGTTCCTTGGGCACTCCTGTGGGTTGAAAGGCTGCAGATCCCTCATGGGCTCCAAGGTGGGGCCTGTGAATCTGTGTCAGTGGTTTCACTGTCAGGCCTACCAGGCCAGGAGGGGAGACTCTCCCAAAGAATCACATCTTATTACAGTGCTTATTTTTAAATTGTCTTGTGTTTTTTGTCTTTGCTCCCCAAAGATGTCATCTGCCCCTCCAGGATGAACCAAACATTTTACTGGGATGATCATTGTTTTGGTGTGTACATATTATACTCACACACAATGTGCACTTCCTAGTCCATTGTCAAATATGTTGACCCACAGTGCAGTGCCTGTGGGACCTCTCTCTCCTGACACGCGTCAGCCCCAGAGCCTCTGTGGCGAGACTGGCCTCCACTGCTTGGAATGAGCTGAGAGTCTTTCAGAGTAAGGTCAGCACGTGGAACAGACCGTGTGCGTGAGAGGCTGCTGGGGGAGAGCAAAAGTCTGCCTCCCCCAAATATGTCTTTGGCAGAAGGTTGATTTCATAGTAGGGACTCTGCAGGCTGCATGGAGGTTGCTTTTGCAAAGGACATTTACTTGTGAACTTCTGTGAGGGCATGCACTGGATGACGTACCTTTTTCAATGGAGGTGTCAGAAATTAAATCTGCATACCTTTGTCTGCTATGCCTTCCCTGGTGACCTCCCTAACTGGCCTCTCCTCCCGGGCCCTCAGCCCCCCGGGGGCCCTATTTTAAATGGTGTCCGAAGTCATGTGGGCAAGTTTTTCATGCTGGACCCTCCCCATGTATTTAGGAGGTGCACGTGTTATTATTGAACGTCTCTTTGGCTTTTTATTCTTACCAGTCTGTCTGGTGTTTGTGTGACTATTTTCCAGCCTAGAAGAAGCCAGAGAGGTACAGGATGATTTGCTTTTTGCCCCGACAGTGCCAACTTGATAGGGCTTTCTGACTATCTTACTGAATTGTCCGGTTGTCTATCTATAGTCACCGAGCTCACTGTGTACGTTTTGCCTGGTGTGCGTGTTTTAATTTGGTTTCTTGCTTGGTTGCTTCTTTCCAAGAACACATTCCTGCTCTCTGTTGTCAACTTAAATTGTCACTGAGGTTGCCGGTGGGACTCGTTTACACAGCAATTTTCATTCAGTAGGGAAAAGCCCCGGAACTGAGGGACCTAACCTGGATCATCAAATTCTTTCCACAGTTGCAGGCGACACTCCCTGCGGCCAGAGAGCGGTGGGTGGCTGCCCCATCGGGCCGGGACCCAGGGAATCTGGGCATGAGCTCCCACCTGGCGCTGCACCACTTGCTCATTGAAGGGGGTTGGAAGGCATTTCCTCCCCGCTCCCTAGTCTTAATGAAAAAACAAAGCCTAAATACAGCGCGTGTTTACACCTGTTCCCTGCCAGAGCAGATGGCCGCCCGGCACACGGGCGCGGCCTGGGACTCCCTCCCCTGATGTGAGACCTGCAGGTGTTCTCCGCTGGGGAAAACATCGAGGACACCAGGACCTCCGCCGCCTGTTTGCAGTCAGATTGCACTGAGCTGGATCCTCCCAGCCATGATCTGGATTCTTGAGCCATCTTTCCTCCTGCTTGCCTTCCTGAGGCTAAGTGGTTGACTTCATGAGCTTCAGCCTTTTTTTTTGTTTGTTAGTTGCATATTCTGAGTCCACTGAGTTTGATTCTCTTTTTTCACCCTCATCATTCATGTCTACATGTCAACTGAAAAATTATATAGTCAAGAAAGTGTAATAATTCTGGAAGCACAAGGATGATTTAGGGCTGAGTGAGCATTAGTGTGAGTGTAAAAGGAAAGGCTTCGTTTCCAAGATGAATGTCAGACACATCCTGATGCCCTCCCCTTGCCTTGGAGAGTAGGGGCGCGCTTGTTCTTGGCATCGGGTGTCCTCACTCCAAGCCCGCTATGAAAGCATGGTGCAGGTTGCACAACTCCTAAGAAATTTAGAGCACTGACTTTTTAGAACAAAAATGGTTTACTCCTTCCTTTCAAGCACACAAAAAAGAAAATATTTAATGGAGAAGAGTTGGCATTTCCTACCCGTTACTATGGAGAAAAAAAAGTTTCTTTATGCAGCTACAGCAGCCCTTGAAGAGCTCATTTGAAAAATGGATGAACCGACTTGTATTTAAGAATCTGACTTCTTCTGGGTGATTATGTGGAAGCAGCAGCAAGATTGGGAATGAGCAAGGCAATAAGAACATGCTAGTGATGGTCCCTCCCAATGATCCCAGCCTTGAAGACTCGTTACTCTACAGGACCAAAGTCAGCTTCCTCATCTGGACTTTTCCTGTTGGGAATAGCCAGTGGGAAGAGTCCACACAGAGAGGACAGGTGGACGACAGACTGTGGTGATGGCTTTCAAGATCGCAAGTGGAGATTTTCTTCCCGTGTACTCCAAGCCATCAGGAAGGCAGTGCCTGCAACATCGCTTTCATTGGCTGCTTGAACAGTGGCCTTGAATGCTCTTTCTAGAATTTACTCTTGCTCAGAAAAGTGACCCAAATACTGTAAAATGAGCTATCATCCCAGGGGTTGCTGCTGCTGAAATTTGGCTGCAACATTAGAAAGTATCTACTGGCTGGTTTTGAAATTAGCAAAGACATAGAGATGGGAGGACATGGAGCAAGCGTGCTTTGTACATAAAGTCTTGCTGAAAGCAAACCCCTGATTCTCCTCTTCTACACTTTCTGTGTTGCAGGAATACCGTGGCTGAGGACCACTGTTGCTACCCTGGGAAGACTCGGGATAACCATGGCCTTTGAAATCGTTTATTTGGTGAATTCAGAATTGTACCCGACGACATTACGGCAAGTCCAACAAGTTTGTCATGGTTTCTGAAAGTTGTTCTGCAGCCAAAAGTCTTACCTTGACTTCAAAACTAGGAAAGTCCCCCTGGTTTGGCGCTGATGTTGTCTGGCCGTGCTCAGTTAGTGCAAAGGACCAGTTGAGTCACAGCTGCTCTCTGGTTACTATTTCCTGCATTTGGGGATGGACGCAATTCTAGTGTCAGTACCTTTAGACATAACCCTGGTTCTGTGGCGAGGACGAGAGCTGGGAGCAGAACCCCTAGTTAGTACGCTTGCTTCGTGGGTCAAATCTGTGCTCATTCAGCGTCATCTTGGGGAAGGCTGCAGCTCTGTCAAGGTCTGGAGCCCGTGAGAGCCAACTGCCAGAGGCCAGAATGAAGCTGTGTGCAGGGACTATTGCAAATGGGCTGCTCTCCTGGGGGGAAACCATGGGCACAGATCTCTGTCCACCCACCTGGAAATGTCACGGTGTGGGCTGGGTAGAGAGCTGCTGCTGGAGAGTTACCATCCTCTCTCCATCCTCACCATCCTGTCCCTCCTGTCCCTCCTCACCATCCTGTCCATCCTCTCCTTCCTCACCATGACTCAGCACCCACCCAGATGTGAAATGGGAAGTTTTGCTAGAGTATGCGATCGTGTCCCTTTTCAAGGTTAAAATTTCTAGAGATGGTTACAATTTCTCTCCTCTTTATGTCTGGATGTTTTGTTTGTTTTGAGTTTATTTAAATATTCTTCATTGAGAACAGTTTTCTCCCACAGGAACTTCGGAGTTTCGCTGTGTTCCGGGCTATGTGATTTTGGGGGCATCGTGGCCCCGTTTCTGCTCTTCCGGCTGGCAGCTGTTTGGCTAGAGCTACCGCTCATCATCTTCGGTAAGAACTCGCCTGGCAGATTGTTCTGAAATGCTTTCATCATCACTCTGTACACTGACAGAGCTCTGCAGTGACTGCTCTGTCTGACTCCGAGGACAGCCATCTAGTCTAGGACGTCTTTTTCCCTGTTGAGGAGAATCTGATTGCAATGAAACGGGAAACCCTAAATAATTTCAATTTATATTACAGGGTTGGATGAACAGAGTTCAATTTAGCTTTCTTTGTTTAGGTTCCAAGTTTAGGATCAAATGCTATGAAACTTTTATGGCACTGGGCATCAGAATCAGTGGTTTTCAGGGGACAGAATCGCACATTCAGTTTGTTTCCCAATAAGCCGGAAAACTAATGTAGCCTCAGTGCTCTCTGTCCACAGCATATCTCAGTTCGCTTTGCTGCCCAGCACACGCCACTGAAAGCAGAGCCACGCAATCCCCGTGCACTGCTGGTCGCCTCTTGGTCATTCCCAAGTTTGTTCCCCGCTCCCTGCTTCCAACGAAGGCAGGAACCTTCACAAAGGAGGAACCCTAAGGACATCCAGGCCAGGGCTGTCTCAACTGGCAACCTAAAAATTCAGGCAGTCACTACAAAGACAAAGTGTGTTTAATCTGGGGTCAAAGAATTGCAATTCAGGGTACCGGTCCAAGTAGGAAACTTAAAACATTCCCTACTTCCAGTAGGGAATATTTTCCATGCATCATTCAATTCAATGAAAATGCTCCAAGGAGGGATAAAATTGGGACATCCTAAGGCAGCGAAAGAGGAAGATGAAGTTAAGTGGTTAAAGAAAAACCTTGATTAATGTTAGCAGTCTGTTCTCAGTTATTTATAATCAGTTACCGATTGTCGAGAGGATGAAAAGGACCTGACTGAGCCTGTCCTCTCACTCCAAGTCCAGAGTCATCAACAATTGTTTGCTTGATGGCTGCATAAAACAATAACTTCTGGCCCGCTCCAAAGGCCTTTGAACTATTTCAAAAGAGACAAGTAATGCAATTTCTCTGTCATGGATCCCAGCCCCCTTTTACAAACGACTTCACAGATGTCAGCTTTTGGTACATTCTTTCTACCTGGACCTCACAACCCCCTCCCCTCCTCAGCAACAAAGGAAGCAGATCAGCTTCTTCCTCACCTCCCTTCCCCACCTGCACTTCTTACTCCTGCCAGAGAATGTTTTTCATGCATCGTTCAATTCAATGAAAATACTGAGTCGATCTTATATCCTGCGTGATACAAAATCCCTTTAATAGTCCTCGGGACAGTAAAGTCAGCTTCCGCTGATTTAACACCCGGGGATTCAATAAGAGCTCAGTTCGAATTATTTCGTGGAATCTGAACATGAAGCTCAGTGTTGGTTCTCTAGCTAGCGCGGCAAAGCAAACAGAGTTCCCTCGTTCAGCCAAGCGCGTGGTCCAGCAGCCCAGGCGTTCCGATGGCAGCCTGCAAGGAGGGCGCGTAAGCTGGGTTCTGGTGCCACAGTCTGGCTGGGGAGAAAGCCAGGTTTCCAGCAGGTACAACAAGAGTGTGATAAAGCCTGGAGGAAAAGGGGCAGGGAGCACCGCTTGGGAGGACCATGCCGCTGAGTGAGGGGAACGTCAGGAAGGAGGGACCAGCATCTAGGCTGAGATCTGAAGATGAGGGGAAATTCTCCAGGTGAGGGTGTGGGCGGGGAGAAGGCCTGGAGCCAGAGGAAGGAGGTGGCCTCTGGCAGGGGGAAGTTGAAGGGTGGGGCGTGTGCGCCAGGCAGCGGCAGCTGGGGGCAGAGGCCGGCACACCAGGAAGGGTCCCGGCGGACTGTGAAGGGTCGCCCTTCTCCTGACAGCAGTGGGCGCTGCTGGAGAGTGTTACGGTGGGGCTGATGGTATGAGATTTGCCTTTAGAAGTATGAGCGATGCCAGAGATGCAGCTGAATTGGAGGGGGCGATGTTCGTGGCAAGACAGTGAAACGAACGTAATCAGGTGAGAGGTCGTTAATGGTGGACTCACAGCGCAGACGGGGCATGGCGAGTTGGAGAGCGATTCAAGAAATATATTAGAAGTAAAACTGGCAAGACAGGCTGAGTGAGGCGGGACGCCCAGGCCTTTTGCTGGGAAACTGTCAGCGAGGCCAGGCTCTGGTTTGGTGAGTGCCAGGGGGGTAGATATGACACGGTGACACAACGGCTGCAAGAAACCCGTCTAGACACGGAGAAGCCAGAGGCCTCAGTGGGTTGCACGCAGGTGAGGAGTCTCGAAGCCATCTGATCTAGACAGACTTTGAAAGTGGGAGTGACCGAGTTCACCCAGCATATAGCACAGAGAGGAAAGAAGAGGCCTGGGACAGAGCCCCGAGGAGCGCGTCAGGGACAGCAGAGGGAGCAGAGCCGGGAAGGAGAGGGCCGCTACGGCAGCAGGGCAAGCAGAGGGCACGGGGCAGGAAAGCCAGCCCCAGCGAGTGCGGTCACCAGCCAGGACTGGGCCAGGCCAGCAGCGAGGAGGAGGAGCTGGGTCGCTGGGTCTGTGGCCGCGGCGAGCTGCCAGTGTGGCGGCAGCCTAGGAAGGCGTGTGGGAAGATGGGGTTTCAAGAGTCAGCTCTCAAGAACAGAGAGAGGGGCTGGTAACTCAGGACAATGTGGGCCTGATAGAAGGTTCTACAAAGAAGAGAGATTTGCATATGGCGCAGCACCTCCGCTGGCGAGGGAAGGTACTGCAGAGGGGGCTCCTCTCCAGGGAGGTGCCCCGAAGACTCCAAGGCATCGTCCTTGGACTGGGCAGGGAAGAGCTCACAGAGGCTCCACCAGGAAGGGCAGGGGAGCGTGGGGGGAATTCTAGTGTGGCCAAGGGAAGCTGCCGCGACCCCTCTCTGCCGGCTTGTCTTCTGGTGAAGCGGGAGGTGAGACCTTCTCCGAGAGCTTTGCACTTAGTAGACTCACAGACAGTAATTAGTAAGTGGATGAGCGAGGGGACATATATCAAGAGTGCAGGCCGACGGGCACAGGTTTAGGAAGACAGAGAACATCGGAAACGTGGCGAGATCAATGAGGGCCGGCTGGGGTGACCTGAGCTGCTGCGGTGGGGCCGTGCGACCCCAGGTCTGTGTGACCCCAGGTCTGTGTGAACCCCGGCTGCTGGTGCGGGGCCCGTGAAGCTTCATGAGCACATCTGCTTCTGGAGTAAGCGGGAGGGCTGAGGGGCCCAGCTGTGTGCTCCTGTTGGGGTGACGCCTCCCCCCTGTTTCCAGGTATCCTGGCCTCTGTCTGCGGTGGCCTCGTGATGCTCCTGCCTGAAACCAAGGGTATCGTCTTGCCAGAGACAGTGGACGATGTGGAAAAACTCGGCAGGTATTGTATGCAGCTCAGCACATCTGAAACGAAAGCCGCACTTCCGCTCGCGGGGGACGGGATGTGCTGAGAAAACATCACCCTTGGGCGGCCATGGCTGGGACCGCACCCGTCCGCGCGCTTTCGCCCCGGTTGCGGGTGGCGGCGCCAGGCAGGTTGCTCTCCTGCACGCGGGCCGCCCACACGTGGGAGCTCACGCATCCCAGCATCCGGCCCAAGGGGCTCTACCAGCCAGCCTGATGCTGCCCTTCCACCGAGCGAGCGACACACTCTCTTGATTCCCAAAGCTGTTGGGGTCAGATTTTCAAGCCCATCAGGAAACAATAGCGAGGAGGACGAGGGGTCGCAGGTCAGAGCTCTGCTCCCCATCACCGTGACCTCAGAGGGAGACACGGGGAGAGAGAGATGCGGGTGGAGAGGGGCACCCCCAGGAGAGTCATCCCCCAGCTACACACACACGAAGAATAGACCCAAATTCAAGAGACACAAATTCTAATTTTTGTATGCTTGTGACTTTCATAATAAAAAGTTGGGTGAAGGAGTTGATTATGCCCAATCTCTCCCCTTGGAGAAACAGCTAGTGAGAGTGATTTACGGCTGTCGGCGCTAAGCGCCCGGAGGTGTCCGTGGTTATGCGCTCTGGGAAAAACCCACTCAGCTCCAGACCATGAATCCTGGTAGCTTTTCCCTTGTACACCTGCACGGCAGTGCTGTGTCCTTTCTGCGGTTTCATTCACGCCGGCGGCTCCTTCCAAACCCTGTGGCTCGGAAGTTCGTAAAGAGCGTATGTGTCGTGGCGCTAACTAGCCAGTCAGCGCTGACAGCCGGGAGACACTTACGTCTCCCGTGAGTTGGGTTTTTGCGAGTGTGTTTGATCAAAACCAACTAGGGTGTTGAGTGAAACACGGCTCTAACCAGTGCTCTCATCCTTCCTACGCACTCTCTCCTTTCTCCTTGGCCCAGTTAGTCCGCAGGCCTGTACGTGTGGCAGGAAAAAGGAAACCCAAGTTTCTAGCTCCCGCCTCTGAGGTCCCCTGAGAAAAACGAAGGAGGAAACTTGTCTGACTGATCCCCCAAGGACCCGACATGCCTTGCGGAGACTTGTGTGTCCACTTACGCTGCGGGGAGCTGTGCAGCTCTACGTGTTCTTAATACTGTACAGACACTCAACCTATCTGGATATTTTTATACAATGTTGGCCGGGTCAAGACGCATCTCCATTCCGAGCCCACGCCAGGTGCGGACGGCGAGAGACAAGCTGCTGTGCTCGCAGCTCCTCCTGAGGCTGGAGCCTGGAGCCTGGCCCATTTGGTCCCGGGTACAAGTGAAGCCCCGTCCAGTTCCCATCACAGCTGCATCAAGACTGCAGGACCTGGATCTGGGGAGTCTGCACAACAATGGGGCCGTCAGCGATCCCCAAGACATAACTCTGAGCTGAGGGCCTGAAGATACCTGCAGGAGGGCGACCTGGGGGGCCTGTTTGTGGAGAGACAGGATCTAAGGCCCGCAGGGCACGAGGCACTGAGCCACCACTTTCTCTCCTGGCCCTGAGCTCTGCGGCCCCACGGCACCTGGGGTCGCTGCCTTCCGGCTATTTCCATAGCTAAGAACAAATCTGCAGTGCAATTCGGGGGGTTGGCTCTGTTCTTTAAAGTCACTTTCAGTCCTGAGATTCAGGATGGTTTGGGCCCCCTTTAGGGGACAGTGAGCACCGTCCTTAGCTCTTTACTAAACAAAATTGTGGATTATGATGGCATGAGCCTCGTGATTTTAATCACAAAGGGATATGTGTCTTGTATTTGTGAGGTCAGGTCTGTGAGGGTGACGGCATCTGTGGTCAAGCGGGGAAACCACAGACAGTTCTCATTCTAGCTGGACGCTTTTGTCTTAGGAAGAAGCTGCCGTGGTAATGGAAAGAAAAGGCCCATTGGATCCATGCTTCAAGAATGAGCAGAAGCTTTCTAAGTGACTTTTTAAGCACCCCCGAGGGATTGGATCTTTTTAGTGCCCGAGGCTTCCGAGGTGTGCCTTTACAGTATGCTGCCTTGCCCGAGGTCTGCTTCCTATCACATTTGTTATATTTTCAGATTCAGCACGTGGCTTCTGCAGAGCTTTTTAATGGGTTCTTTTGTGCTCATGGGCAAAATGGGCGCGGAAGGGAAAGCTGGCCGAGGAGGAGAGTTCCTGTGTGAACAGGTGACAACACGTGTGTCGTGTGTGTTGATTGTAAAATAAGCTTCTTGATCCTTAAAACCCCCACCAGAGTTGATGAGGAGCATCTTGTTTGGTGCTGAAAGGAGCACAGCTCGTGCGGGGTGCGCCGGGCATCCACCCTCATCCACACACACTGGGCCTCTGCTTCCTTCTCTTTTGCTCTTCGATACTATCACCTTTGAATTGTATTTTGGTTCTGGTAAGAATAAAAATTTTAAATTGCCAAGGAAAATCAATGTCCATCCTTGCTCTTCCTCCCAAACACATGTCCCTGTAAATACACTATGCCTGGGTGACCTTAGCGCTGTCCACCCCGGTGGCCAGTCAGCAGTGGGAATTAAGGAGTCACTTATGTTCCTTGTTCCTTAGTAAGCACTTGGCACCATCTCTAGACTCAGATGTGACCCAGAATAACATTCAGACTCTAGCTGGTCTTGGATTACACACCCACTGCCCAATTCACAGCGCACAACTGCCGGTGTCGGCTGTGCTGGCCACGGTCGAGCTGTCAGGAACAGATTTCATTCCCAAGAATAGAATTTGTTCTCATGACCCCCGCCCGCCACATACCTGTTGTGCTCTGAAAACATTTATCTCATTGCCAAAAATAAACACATGGAAGATGTGTGTCCAGCCACCTTTCACCCACAAGAGAGACACACAACAAACTTAGGAGTTCTGGGCTCACATCGCCATGGTCCCACAGGCTCCGCAGTCTTTATGTGACTATACGTGAGGGAAAAGAGCAAAATCTGTTAGCTACTCTGTTGAAAATTGGTAGGATGAACAAAGAAATGGAAACAAGGAAGATCAAAAACTTAAAGTACATGGTTTATTTTCAACATATGTCCAAACTGTGTTGCCTGTCACAGCCTGTGCACCCACGGGACTGGAAAAATTTATCCACAACAATATTAAAAAATGTTGCGATTTGGCAGATGGTAACAAGAAGTTTCTTCATTTGATTAATGTCAATTACTCTGAGCATACTAAATTCCCTCTCCATATTTCAGCTTCCAGATTGGTGGATGCTCCGCTGTCTCCCAACTGTTAGTTACGACTCATTGTTTCTTCAATCCAGTTAACAAACCTTGATACACGCACATAGACACCGGGTTTATTGGGGCGCGCACAGCCAAGACCCCAAGAAGTGACTCCTTGCAAAATGTATTTGTCCTTCTCGAAGCAAACCAGAGGTCCTCCACTGTCGCCCTGTTCAGAGGGAGGGAGTCAGCCATCGTGGTTTTATTATGGGGTGTGAGTTTTCCCAGCACTTAAACATTCCTTTACAATCAGAAAGGACCTTCTCAACATATCATCTGAACATCTGTTGTGCTTCAGTACCAAGCAAAATATTTTCAACAAAACCACACCACTTAGTATTTCCTGACGAAGAAAATCCCTCGTGACTAGTCTACTCATCCCTTCCCACTGTGGGGATTCTCCTAGACAGAGTAGCCCCAAGAACTATTGTGGGGCAGGTGCAGCTGGTCTTGTCTTACAGCCCCTCCCTACTCAGCGCCCCCCCCTCAACCCAGCACGCTCCCAGGCAGCATGTGTTTCTTGACAGTGATGGATCCGAGCTACCTACTTACACCCAACCTGTGACTCCAGGCCCAGAAATCACCTGAGATGACCTGCATCAGGATTGGGGGTCAGGCCTATGGGGTTTGGGGATCCATCAGTCCTAGTTTGTGACCTCGGTTGACAAATCCTTCATGAATTTGCCACTTTGGGGCCGAAATAGCCAAGAAGCCCTAGGCAGGTCAGCACAAGATCAACTTTGCTCTCTAGAGACTTTGCTTACCTGGCAGCTGTCAGTGCCTCCGACCAAGTCCCCAGCACAAAGCTCAGAGGACCTGACTCTTCCATTCAGAAGCTCGTAGCGGTTGCACACTTTATTCTCAATCACGGGGATCTGGGCTTCCTTGAGCAAGCCAGCACCAAAGGTGCCTGTGTTTAAAAAGATGAAAGAAATGAGTAAAGTTTACTGGATCCAAAACTTGCTCACAAGGAAAGTTCTAGAACAGCGGAGAAGCAGTGGTCGACCTCCCCTGTCCTCGAGGTTGGATGAGACAAGACAAGGGGACAGTGTCCACACTGCTGGAACACTCTTCTCTCTTTTTGACCCTTAAATATGTAAACATTTCATCAGATGTTGTGTTCCCAGGACCTGAATTTTATCATCTGGGTTTTTTTTTTTTTACAGTGTTGGTAGGATTTCTGTTGCTGTTATTTTGTTGTCTTTACATTTTAGGATATAGAGTTTGAGAAACACAGTGACTGCTACTTTTATATATTTTCTCTTAGTCTTTTTCTATTTTTCTTTTAATACACTGCATGAGCATATCTCTTGCTTTTCTCACACACATTATATAATAAGAACTTTTTTTTTATTATCCCACCATCTTTGTAACTAACATTTTAATGTGGAGTGCCTGCCTTGTGGGGCTGGGGTTTCCTTTCCGGGTGAGGGCATCCTGGACATAGTGGTGATGGTTCACCGAGATGACAAGCTTACTGAACGCCACCGAACTGTACTCTTCAAAGAGTGCATTTTATGTTAGATGTATTTTACCACAACAAATAATGTAAGAAAAGGAAGAGGAATAGCTGTTACTAACCTTTCCAGGCACACACTCTTCATGTGCTATATCTCAGTCCTTAACTTGAGCCCTGGAAATAGACACTTTCTCACTCCTGTTTCAGTTAAAGAAATTGAGACCTAGTGAGGGTGTGCAGTTTGTCCAAGGTCACCCAGAAAATAGGTGGTGGAGCTGGGATTTGAACCTAGGACCATGGCATCATTGCCCAAATTCTTCACCATCATCTTCACAGGCTCCTGCAGTTGTTTCCCATGTTCCACAGCTGTGCTCACACAGTTTATTCATATTCCTTAATATTTTCTTAAGCCCCCAGAAATTTCTTAAGTCCCCAGAAATTATATAAACACACGTATGGTTCCCACCAGCACCACCAAATTATTTTCCCAAAGGTATGGCAGTGGAAAAGGTCACCAGAGAAAACAATCACTTCATCACACCCTTATGGGTACTTAATATTTTTCAAATATCTGCTGATACTATAGGTGGAAATTGTTCTATTCGTTTTTGAAGTTCATTCTTTTATAATTCTGGAGAATAACATTCTGTTGTAAGCTTGTTTTACTTGCATTTCTTCTTTTGTGAATAATTGTTTTTGGTTTGTTTTTTCACTTTGCCAAATTGAGTAGGATATTTGCAACATTCCAGAAGAAATGTTGGTTTTCCAGATGGACACACCAGCATTTTCACAAACAATCTAGTTTTCCAATTTTGCAAGCTCAGTTTTCACCAGAATTTAGCAAACGCCTTTACTTTGCTAGTTGGAAGAGCCAAGACAGGGAGTATTATCTTTTCTTCAAAGACACTGAATAAACTAGCATAATTTCTTGAGTTTGGGAAATGTACGCTCCACCTCGAGTTAACACAAACTGTATCTGAGAGGACCACCCGCTTGGCAGGAGAGGCTAGTCCCAGCCCCTGCGGGGCAGAGGCCAAGGAGGAAGCAGGGTGGGTGCACTATTTGACTCGAGTGGGCATGTGGGGGAGCAGCCTTCTCAAAATATTTTGCTGAAAATCGATTTATTAGAGTGTCCTGATCTTTTATCTGCTGTTTGGTCGAGACAGACTCCCTAACGCAGTGTGCCGTCCACCCTGACAGACATTGACGTGGTCAGTGGAGATGTGCTGCCATCCTGTGGTCACAGTAGAGATGGCATTTTTGAGAGCAGGAAGACAGCGGGTGACCAGGACATAGGAGCTCTGATGGGGAGTCCATGGGGTCAGGAAGAGGAAGCAGGAGTCCCACGGGGTTGGTGATTGTTGATGAGGGGATCATCCAAATGAGTCCTAGGCCTCACACTTACTTTGCATTTGGAATATCAAAGTTGGGAAAGACTTTGTGGAGAAGCGGAGACTACAGATGTCAGCGAGACCGGGACACTGACTGACCAAGTAATTCACAACAAAAGGAAAGACAAAAATCATATAATCATATCAATAGATGCAGAGAAGGCATTTGACAAGATTCAGCACTTGTTTATGATAAAAATTCTTAGTAAAAGAGATAGAAGGAACATACCTCAACATAATAAAGGCCATGTAGGCCATGCACAGCTAATGTCATATTCAATGATGAGAAACTGAAAGGATGTCCACTTTCCCCACTACTAGTCCACATGGTATTGAAAGTCCTAGCTACAGCAATTGGGCAAAAGAATGGTAGAAATTGGGAAAGAAGTGAAGCTGTTCACTATTTGCAGATGACAGGACAATATGCATAGAAAACCCTAAAGACGCCCCTAAAATAAAAAAAAAAATTAGAAACAATAAATCAGTTCAGTAAGATGGCAGGTTACAACAAACAACATTCTGTTGTGGTCCTATATGCTAATAACAAACTCGAAGAGAAAGAAATGAAGAAAACAGTAGTATGAAAAAGTGTTAAATACCTAGGAATGAAAAAAAAAGGAGATGAAACATATATTCAGTGAAAATTGAAGGGCATTGTTAAAGAAATGGAAGAAGAAATGGAAGCTATCCGTTGCTCATGGTTTAGAAGAATTAACAGTGTTAAAACGGGGCCTCCCCGGGGGCGCAGCGGTTGAGCGCTGGGTTGCGAAGCTGCCCGCAGCCTCCACAGCGCCGGTTCGATCCCCGGCTGCTCCCCGGCCCCCCGAGGAGGGTCCCACATGGCACGCAGACCTCTCCTGCCGCCCGCTGCTCCCCTCAGCAGTGTCCTTCGGTCCTTCTGCCTGCTCTGCTCCCCGCTCTGGCTCTGGTGAATTCTCTCACCCTCCCGCGCTTCTGACTGTACCCAGTGCTTGTATAAAACAAAACAAAAAACAAACAAACAAATAAATAAATAAAACATGCCTCTATTAAAAAAAAAAAAAAACAAAAAAAACAGTGTTAAAACGGCCATCTTACCCAAAGCAATATCTAGCCTCAATGAATACCTATCAAGGTTTCAATGGCATTCTTCAAAGAAATAGAGCAAGTATTACTGAAATTTCCCTGAACAGCCAAAGCAATCTTCACCAAAAAGATGAGGAAAGGCTCCTACTCCCAGACTTCAGACTATACTACAAAGTTATGGTAATAAAAACAGTAAAGTATTAGAATAAAAATATACACTGAGACCAATGGAATTGAATTCAGAGCCCAGAAATAAATCCACACTTCTATGGACAGGTAATCTATGAAAGGAGGCCAGAGTGTACATAGCAGAGGGGAGAGTCTCTTCAACAAATTGGGAAAACTGAACAGCCACAGGCAGAAAGTTGAACCCAAACCACAACACACAAAAATTAACCCAAAATAGATTAAAGATGGGGGGTAAGACTAGAAACCATAAAACATAGAAGAAAACATCGGCGAAACTCTCCATGACGCTGGCTTCAGTGATGTCTCTGGGGACTCGACTCTAATGCCAAGAAATGCAAATATACAAACGGGATTACATCAAAGTAAAAAGCTGCACAGCAAAGGAAACTGTCACCACTAAAACAAAAAGACACCCTATTGAATGGGAGAATATATTTTTAAATTATGTATCTGACAAGGAGGCTGATAGCCAAGATCTAAAAGAAATCACATAACCGAACAGTAAGAAAACCAGGAACCCAATAAAAAAGTGGGAAGAAGAGTTAAATAGACACTTCCCCAAAGAGAAGAGCTAATAGACACTTCTCCAAAGAAAACACATTGATGCTCAATAGGAATGTGAAAAAATGTTTAACATCACTTTTCATCAGGGAAAATCAAAGCCACAATGAGATACCAGGCCTGTGAGAAAGGCCATATCAAAAAACAAACAAACAAACAAAAAACACAGAAACAACAAGTGTTGGCGAGGATGTGGAGAAAAAGGAGCCTCATACACTGGAGGTGGGAATGCAACCGGTCCAGCTGCAATGGAAAACAATATGGAGGTTCCTCAAAATGGTAGGAAACCATACCTGAAACACACCTACTAGTAGGTGTGAAAACACACCTACTAGATGACACAGCAATTCCATCCTTTGGTATTTATCCAAAGATTGCAAAAACACTAGTTCAAAAGCCCACATGCACACCTAGGTTCACTGCAGCACTATTTACAATAGCAAAACTATAGAAACAACCCAAGTGCCCAATTTACAGACGGGCGGATCAAGGCGATGAGATATATACTCACAATGGAATACTACTCAGCTAGAAAAAGAGATGAACTCTTGTCATGTGTGACAACATGGAAGGAACTGGAGGGGGCTGTGCTAAGAAGGAGAAAGACAAATACTAGATAATTTCACCCGTGTGGAATACAAAAAAAAAAAAAAAAAAAAGAAACAGAAAAAAACTAAGTCAAAACAAAGAGTAGAACTTTGGCTGCAGAACGGAGGCTACTAGAGGGGGAGAGTGGGGATAGGGAGCAGAGCAGGGAGGGGCCAGTGGTCTGTGGTGCAGGATTATGGGTGCTTTGGTGGTGGGTGTGATGTGGCAGCATGCATCTGAAGTGGTATGAGAACCTGTTGCCCTGAATCTTATATAGTGCTGTAAACCAGTGTTACCTCAATTAAAAAAAATACGGATTCACCAGCTATCACCGCTGACGATTAGGAAATTGGTAAAACAGGCCTGACTTGTGTTTTGTGACTCCTGGTCCAATCAATCAGCTGATAGCCATTTCTTCAGTAGACAGGTGATGGGGTCAGGGAGTCAGTGCAGGACGATGGTTAGACTGTACGGGGGTGGGGGTTGCGGTTGGGACAGGGGAAACAGCAAGAGGACTTGGCTGCCAGGCAGGCCTGGGTTCCATCAGCGTCGACGACATAAGGTCTATGTTTTGTTAATTGGTGATGATGACGGGGAGGGTGGGGGTGACGCGCTGGTGATTACTGTGATGACGGGGGTGGGGACAGCGGCCCTCACGATGAGAGCTGGGGATGGGGATGGGGATGGGGATGGTGGTGATGATGATGGGGAGCTCTGGGGGAGACTGTAATGGTGGTGCTGCTTGATGGTGATGATGGTTTGGGGGTGATGGTGATGGTGGTGGTGGTGGTGGTGGTGATACAACAGACGTAGAAGGGGTGTTTGCTCCAAAGCACCCTCTCCGAAGCACTGAGGGCCCCACGCGCAGCCCAGTCCTCACAGTGACCTCCCAGGGCACACAAGTGGGGAGAGGAGGCCCAGAGACGCCTGACGCAGGGCCGGTGCGGGGCTACGACGACGCCAGCGTCCACAGCACTGTGCTTAGAACTGATTTGACTCAGCTGTGACCGAGGGCGCCTGTTGGTTTTCTGGCTGCCGGGAAACCTTCCCTCCTGCATCCCCAATCCTGTGGCAGGAGCCGCCCTTCGCCTGTCCTGGGCGTGGCGCGAGGGGCTTCTCAGGTGCAGGTAATGCAGGTAATGCAAATGGGCACCAGGGCAGCCCCTGACCGGTCCGGGCCTGACAGACCGTGAGTGCTGCGAGGGGAAGCCGGTCTCCCTCCTTCTCCTGGCAGAGCTGCAGCCCCTGGCACCTGCTCACAAACCATGTGCTCTTGGGGTGGCTGACAGCACCCACAGGGTGCAGGCGGGGACCTGGCTCCAGGGACGCCAAGACAGGCAGCCGGTTCCCAGCTCCCTAAGAATACCCCTTTGTGGCGTCATTCGATTTGTGTTGGATTTTTCTCCCACTTGCGAGGAGCCGTGCAGGAGTGGACTGCACTCGCTGGCGCCGCCAGGACTCGGCCTTGCTCGGGGATCCCCCACCAAAGCCCCGTACCCACGTCCTGCAGAGGAAATGGCTCGAAGAGGCTGTGCTTTTCCGAGGACCTGCAGCTGGTAAGAGGGAGTCGGGTGCGTCTCACCACACCCGGCTGGGGTCTGTGGGGTGAGCCTTCTCAGGCCCCTCATTTGCTCAATGGAAACCAAGATGTTGCGTGTACAGGGGTGTGTGGTGGTTAAACACACAGCTGTTAAATGCAAACAGCGGAGGCAACCCGGCACCCCCTCAGAGACGCCTTGTTTGTTGAGTTTCCCCTTCCCTTGCCTCCATGGTCAGACTCCAGAGCATGGAAAGGGGGTGCAGGAAATGCAGAGGCAAGGTTTAAAAGAGCAAGAGCAGAGAAAGAAGGAAGACAGGTTTGGAATTATCTAGACCACTAGCTTTGAGCTTTTTTTAAGCCACAAAATCTTTCTTCTAATGAAAAAGTGTGCAAAAAAGCTATCACAGAAAACACAGTTTGGAAACACACACAGCCCTGGTACAGAGGGGGTCGGGGGTGACGTGGTCAGTTTGCCCCAGAGTGGCAGAGCCAGAGCCCCTGCCCAGGGCCTGGCTGCTGTGCCCTCCCCAGTCCTCTGAGAGGGCGAGGTGCAGACCCAAGACGTCCTCACCCGTTGCTTCCACCCCAGTGAGGCACATGCAGTTATTATCAGGGCACAGCACAGAGTGAAGATGGGATCCCCAAAAGGGGCATACGGGACCCTGTATAAACAGTCCCTCTTTCTCCCTCCCCCAAGGGCCACAGCAAAACTGGACAGCGCAGGGCCTTTCTCTCCTGTCCTTTCCTGTCCTGTCTGTCCCAGCCTGCACGGCCGCCCCCACACACGCCAGAGGAGCAGGTATTTGGGGAGACTAATTGAACTGTAATTTCTGTTGTTGTTTTACACCATGGGAATTCAGTCTGGCTCACTGCCCGTGGAAAGCAACGTAGCACTCTTAATTTGCGGTCTTGTGTCAAAACCCTGCGTGCCAGAGGACACATTAACATTGGAATTATGGGCTAAGAGACCAGACTGTCCCCTCCCTCACCAGGCTCCCCCTGCAGCCACTGTGGACTCACGGGCAGGCACCCCCGGCAGGTGGGCGGGCCTCATTTATGGATTTTGTCCAACTTTCTCCAAAACTCTCTCTTTTCCCATGAGATGGCAGGTCAACGACCAGTTACTTCTGTGAGTCACAAAATCCCTCTCACCTTGGGTTTCTCCCCAGCCGGTGATGAAGCACAAGGTCCGGTCAGCCACCACGTAGTTCTGGCTCGGCAGGCAGGCGGGGATCACCTTCTCAGTGATGATGGCGGGGCTGGAGCAGAGCAGAGTTAGGGTCAAGGGCCTGGTCCTCCTGGACGAGAAGCCGCCCACAGGAGCCTGGAGCCCTGAAGGCCGGGACTTCCATCCCGCTGACCCTGTGCTGGTGGAAGGCCCTGTTCCACCTCTTGTCGGCCTAGCGCACCCCACGACCCAGTGTGTCACGCAGGCATCCATGTGGACAAGAAACTGGAGGCTGTAGGGATGGCAAAGACTCGCTGCCCACGCCTGCCCGGGCGCGTCGGGCATCAGAAAAGCACGTGGTCAGGCCAGTGTGGAGGCTGGGCGTGGACAGGAGGCCTGGAGGAAATGCCCCCGAGTGGTGACAGCAGTAATGGGGCCAGGCCTGCGCGAGTGGCTGGACTTTGGGTGCCTAAGTTTCCTCATCTGCGCGTGTGACACAAACCCACAGAATGCGTGAGGTGGGAGCCCAGCAGCCTGCACGAGCACAACGACCTGAGATTTCAGGCCTCTTCAACACTAGAGCTTTGATCCTAAGCCTCATTCTACTTTAGGAAGTTCTGATGGAAACAGATGGAAGACGAGGTGTGCCCTCTCCGGGTGCGAAAGCACCTGAGTGCAGGAAAGGAATTCACCCTTTAGGCCCAACCAAGGAGCCCCTCTCTTTCCTCCCTCGAGAGTCGTAAACACCCAAGAGTCGCCCCAGTCAGGCTTGGCAGGCCCAGAGGGCAGTGCTTGGAGCCCTGGGCATGGGCTTGGGCCAGCCCAGTCCCCCGGTCAGCTCAGCGTCCACTGCCCTCAGCTCTGCCAGATGCCCTGGGCCTGCCCCAGACCCCAACGTGCCCTCCTCAAAGTAGCCACGGGTTTATTTAGCTGGCTGGGACCGGTTTCCAAATGCTTCTAACTTGAAGTGGCACAAGCCAGGTGACCTTTGTGCCGGCTTCATAAAACACCATTTCCACAGAAACAGGGAGACTGAAGGAGAGCTGGCGTTGGTGAAGTGTGTGTGTGTGCGTGTGTGTGTGTGCGTGTGTGCGCGCATGCACGCATGCTCTGCAGTGTGTAAGGAGCTTTGAAATACATCCTCCCACTTGAGTCTCCCAACGTGTTATTATGTGGCGAGAACTGTCACCTGAGATGCTGGAATCATCTCTGACTGCGACTGCATGCTAGCTGACTAGTAAAATTAAGTGAGCGTTTTAGGGGTAACTGCGTGCCTCATGTGTCAGCTCAGTCTTGTCCTCATGGGGAAGCCCGCCCAGGGCTTTCCGCGACCACCACTGGAGGGTGGCAGCGTGGGGCCAAGCCCAGCTCATCCATGTGCCTTCTGTACCCTAGACGGTGCCGCCCCCTTTATCCCCCCTCAAGCCAGGGCACAAACAGTGTTGATCCAGGTGGAGCTCGGGGAAGGTGGTACCTGCTCAGCTTCAGCAAGGCGATGTCTGCTCTCATGGGCCCTGGGAACAGCTTGGCTACTTCTTTTTCCTGGACGTCCGGTTCAAGATTCTTCTCCCGGTGCGCACCCAGGATGACCTTGTATGAGGCAGCCCTTGAGGACCTGGAAGACGGTGGTATCAGGAGCAGAGCCGGGGCCAGATCACAGGGGCCTTCTGAGCCACGGACACTGCACCCCACGCCTTCCACTGAGGCCTCTGAGTGGGAGGGAGAGGAGGGGGGGAGAGAGAAGAGAGGAGGGAGGGAAGAGGGAGCAGAGAGGAGCCTTTAGGACAGGCTTCCTGTCGGTCACCCTGGACGTACCTCTCCAAGCAGTGGGCGGCGGTCACCACCCACTCAGGGGCTATCAACGTGCCTCCACAAAAGTGCATCCCCAACCTAGAAAGGAAGGTGCCGGGACATTAGTTCTCTGCAGAGAAGAGTCTGCTCAGTCTCCAGAGCGGTGATGTCCCTGGGAGCAGCAACTGGCTCCGGGTTAGTCCGAGACTTTGTGTTTCACGAATGGGATTTTCTGGAAGGTTCCATCCACACCAGATGGCTGGGGAAGGCCAGGCATGGCCTGCCCACAGGGGCGCAAGGCCCCGTGGCTCCATCAAGAAGCTGGCATTGTGGCTGAGGTACTGGCCTGGACTCCAGTGGGGGGACCAGCTAAGGGCACCCCCCGAGTCACTTCCTTTTCTCCATGACAAGACACGCAGGACCTGTCTAGGAAGCCAGAGGCGAGCCTGGGCCGCGGTGGTTCGTGGGAATCTGCAGAATTACCGGAGAAAATTCCCCGAGTTGTTTACTTTGCAGGACCCTCTGGGCAGGCGGTGGCTCACAGAAATGACTCAAGGCTGATTGTGAGGATGAGGACACAAACAGCACACACACACACACAGGCGTGTGATGGGGAGGGGGCTGCAGTGCAGTTAGGGAAAGAGTATGAGGGGGCCTCCCTGTGGCCTCGGGGTTCAGTCCCAGCACTGGTCACCTCTGTGGCCTGAGTTTGATCCCCAGCCAGGGAGCTACCCACAGGGCACAGCAGACCTCTCCTGTCTCCCCGCTGCTCCCCTCAGCAGAGTATTTCAGTGGATCTGCCTGTCCTGCTCCCCACTCTGTCGGAGGAGCTGTGTCTGGAGCGCAGGTTCTAGGTGGCCCCTGGAAAGCGGGATCTCTCCAAGGAGCAGCCACGGGCCTGCAGGACTGGCCCAGCTCTGTGAGGTCAGCCCCCGCGGGGCCGTGTCTGGGAGGGGAGCCCCGCCCGCGTCCTTCATGCACACAGAACCTGCGCTGCCCGCCGGGGGGACAGTCATTTCACCCTCGCGCCTCCCCAAGCGCCTCGTCTCCAAGTGTTCCTATTTTACAAAGAGACAATGGCCTCCTGGGTCAGCCTCCAGGGTGCCCCTGCGGCTCCCCGGGACACCAGGCCTTCTGGCGCCGGCTACTTTCAAAAAAGAAACCCCAGAAAAATATTTTTTAATTTTTATAGGCGTCTTTGTCCTCGGGAGGATCAGTGGCAGGTCCCGACTCCTGAGCTGCACGGGTGCAGCGAGTGCGGGGCGAGGCGCCGGGCACCTTACCTGTTTCTGAGGCTGACCTGCCAGGGCCAGGAGTGCGGGTGCGCCACGCAGCCGCCCACCACCCGGCCCGGGCACTTCTTCGGCTCCACCTTCGGCTTCCCGCAGGTGAACGCGGAGGACGCTGCGGCACAAGCAGGCGGCTCAGGATCAGGGCGGCCCTGTCCCCAGGGAGGGCGCGTCCGAGCCCAACCTGGAGCTTGACCTCCCCCCCAAACTAAAGCGCGTCTCTGGGATACTCTCTCTAAGTTTCCAGAGTGGCGGTAGACAACGCAGAGCCCTCCCCTTTCAAAAACATAGAACCACTGTTACACTTATTTGGGGGGGAATTGGTAGATTTAGGCATTGGGGGGAGCTTTTCTATGCGACCTGGACTGCACGGGCTGTCACTCTGACGCCAAGTCCTGCATCCAAGGAACACTCTGCCCGCTGCACCCTGGACCTCCTGCACGGTCTCCCACGGCTCGCGACACCCTCGCAGTGTCCTGCTCAGAGCTGCCAGGGAACGTCCCCGGGGTGGTGCCTTGGAATCTGTCTTCACGCGTCCAATCAGACGTGCAGAGTCCAGGTAGGACATGACGCCTCCGGGTCACCCCTGAGCTCCCTCTTCTGTATTTACTTCATTTAAGGCGTTGGGGACAGGGAGATTCCCTAACACATGGGGCCGCCAGTAAGACCTGCCTCTCCCAGATGCCCCTGGTGAAGGGAGGCAGTCCTGCCCTCCCCCCCACCAGGTGCTCAGCTCCCAACCCTCCCTGGCACACCCTCAAGAGGTGAAGCTGCAGTACTTGAGAAGTCCTCTCCTTCCCAAGAGAGCACTCACCACAATGCGGGATGTCACAGTAGTCAAAGAGTTTCTTTGGGTTCATGGTGTAGCACCAGGGCCCATTGGGGTCCCCATCGGGATTCCGGCAGTACTGAAAGAAGAGCGGGCTAGTCAGGTACACGGGGGCAGAAGAGAGCACGGGCATGCCCTGCTGTCCTGACAGGGAAAGGAAGCCCCCTTTTTATTTGGGGTGCAGTTAATTTCAGGATGCTTGTATAGACTCCGATGCACAGTGCACCTGGGTCACGTCTCCTTGCTGCAAAGACGCTCCGACTCTGAGGTCACACTCCAGGGGAGGGTGGGGACTTTGAAGGATGTCCATGAGCACCCAGGCCAGCAGCCTGGGCAGGGGACTTCTTCAGAGCCCCAGCAGCAGAGGAGGAGGGCGGGCCTGACCGGCTCATCTGCCCCTGGCTCGCTGCAGCCTCCTCTACCCCACGGCACCACGGCTGCTCCCCACAGGCTGTGCACCTTCCAGGGGTCAAGCCCCCAAGGCAATGTCTTCCTTCTTCCCTACTCATCCTCCCTCTGAAGAAAAACCATCCCAGGAAGCACGTGAGGCCAGGAAATCCTACTCCGTGGAATCCTCATGACCCCAGGAATTTTTCCTAGAAAATGCCTCCTAAAATGTCACAAAGGTCATCTTTGATTTCCAAAATCGAAGGACAAACACTAAACACGATAAACAGCACCCGATAAAAACAGAGCAGGAAACGTCACAGAAGGGCAGCGAGAGACCCGGGACAGTGGCAGCTGCTTTTCCCACGCAGACCCCCGGAGGCGTAGGCCCGGAAGGCCCCCGCGCCCCTCCCGCCCCACACCCCGGCCTGGCGGGCGGGCAGGCCGCCCTTCCTCCCGGGAGCGCCGGTGCTGGCAAAGGCTGGCCAACAGAAGGCAAAGCGGAATCCAAAGCAAAGGGGCTTACGTTTTCATCCAGACCGGCCTGAGGCTTTGACCCTGGGGTGAAAGAGTGGTGGGTGTGGGGCTCCTGCGAAGCCCAAGGCTGGCACGGGATGCCCGTCACCGTGGTGGCCTTCTTGCCCCGGTATCCTTTCCCGATCCCAAACATGCAGTCTGTGGGGAAACAAAATGGGGGTCATCACCGGGACCAGGCCAGATGAGAGGAGAGCGTGCAGGGTGTTAGGTCTCTGGTGACCGACTCTGGGCCCATCCTCCCCAGCACTGGGGTGCCCACGAAGAGGGGCCCTGCTTCGTTTGACAGGTTACAGAAAAGCTTATTGGCCTGGAAGCAATCACAGATCTAGCAGGATGTTAGACTGGGAATTGTGGGCAGGACACTAAGACAGTCAGATTGATAGAAACAGAGAGAGGAGCTCTCCCTGCTCTGGGGACCAGTATGAGCCCCCCCACACACTAGCACTGGGGGGAGGCGAGGCCCTGGGGGAAAGGAAAAGGGTCTGAATGTCAAATCAAGTTCTCTTTTCTAATCATGACTGTCTGGAGCACTTTGAATTATGCAAAACTCATCAGAGAAGTCACGAGACCCTGAGTTTGCGTGCTATTTTAGGGGGAGCAGCAGCAGCCATTCCCCCTCTCCCCCCCCCCATGTCTCCTCCTCCTGCATGGCAGAGCACTGGACTGCTAAATCTGACCCCAGGTGCCAGGTGCCTGGCCCTTGCAGCTACACAGCAGGGCCAGGGCAGCAGAAATGAGTGGGGAATCTGTGTCCTCCCACCATACATGGTGACCACGGCCTCATTTTCAGACCCCCCAGCCCTGCTGAGCTACACCCCACTGTCCACGTGTTTGTGGGAGAGTGCCACCTGGCCATCTGACTAGCAGCCCTAGTTCAGTACATTCCAAACGAAAGGAGTTATTTCTATTCCTCCAGGGAGGAGGCATGGACTTGCTTTTCCAGAATATTCCAACGCTGCCAATGCCACCATATCAGTCTTGCAATACACTCAGGCTCAATTTTATCCATCCCTCACAACCTAGGACTTCTCAAATCCTAAAGAAACCACACTCCCAGATTTCATCCCCAGCAGCAGCTCTGACACCCCAGTGCCTCCTTCCTCACGGCAGCCCCTCAGCCAACACATCAGAGCCCTGCAGAACACAGCCTCTGCATCCCTGAGCCCTTCCTGCTCCTTTCAACCTGACGCCCAAGGATGCAGGTGTGTGGTCAGAGACGCTTACCTACTTCTGAAGGATCCTGTGGACTTGGAACTTGGACAGTTGGAGAGCTTGAGCCGCTCTGTTCTGTCTCTGGGCATTTCTTCAGGTTACAGAACTCCCATCTGACGCTGGGGTCGGTCGTGTAGCACCAGGGGCTTTTATCGCCGTCTGGGTTCCTGCAGTAGTTCATCCTCAGGTCACTGCAAGTTCCATAATAATTGCGGTCAGGAGAGGGAGAATTACAGCAGCCCCCGGCACCCTCTGAATCTTGTTACACAAAGTGCTGTCACATATTTGAAATATTTCCATCTAAGTTCCGGTGTCACTGTATTGCCACAACTCAGAGGGTCACAACTTCTCAGCTACTGGATACATGTTAAAATAGATTATAAACTTAAAATCCAGAGTACGATATACTGCAGATGCAAACAGAGATGATACATACATTGTAATGTCTTTGTCCACATTGTTAAAGGCATTCCCCAGGGATGGCCAGCGAGGACTTTGAAGCACAGATTTTGGAATTTTCTCTAAGCATAGGTACTGTCTCCCTGCCGTGACTCACAGGGCACGGACGTGCTGTGGTTATGGGGATCCAGACCCTGTCTGGAGATACCAGGGACGCAGGACGCGGGCTCAGGCCCCGACCCCCAGTCCAGGGACGCCAGTCAGCAGCTCCGTGTCCTGCTGGACCAGCTCACAGGCCTTGCATTTGAACAGGCGGCTGCTCTGTTTTATAACCTGAGTTCTACCAACACAGGGAGACGCACACGCGTAGGGTGGTTTGATGCGCCCTCATGAGCATCGTCCTGACAGCCCCCTCGCCTGGTGTGACTCACAATCTCCTTCACCCTGAAAGGTCCCTGGGTCACTGCCCCATCCACCTCTGCTGCCCCCAGAGGCAACTGCTATTGATTCCTTGACCACGAGTGGATTTTGCCCTTTGTGCAGGCCTGGTGGTGTAGACTCTGCCTGGCTCCTTTCCTGAGTGCTGCGGGCTGGAGCTTGGTTTATGCTTTTGTAAGCAGCTGTGCCTCATGTGCCTCGTTTTATTCCTGAATAGAACCATGTTGGTTTATGAATATGCCAGCAATTATTCCTTCATTTTCTTAGAAAGGCATCAAAGTTGTTTCCTTCCAGGGTGGTTAGGAGCAAGTCTGCCTGCATCCTCTGTGGGCCGTGTCGTCACTTGAGTTTTCGTTTCACTTCCTGTGAACACAGTTGCGCGCCCACGGGTGATGCATGCTGGCCTTTACGAGCAGCCGTCGTCTGATCTGCAAAGTGCTTGTCCCCCGACGCCCCCACCAGCACATGAGAGCTAAGGCTGCCCCATGCGTGCCCCAGGTGCTGCTGTCTGTCTGTCCATCCAGCCACTGCCCTGGGTGTGAGTTGGTATCTCCGTGTCTATTGACTGATACTGACGGCTCATGTGTCCAGCACGTTCAGGGGCTCGCTGGCCACTGGCCTCCGTGCATGCCCTGTGGAGCCACTTGCCCGTTTTTTTTTTTTCAGGTTGTTTGACTTTTTCTGCTGAGAGCTCAGAGTGATTATACTCCTGGACACAAGCCATTGGTCAGATACAAGGTCTGAGAGCATTTTTTTCCAGGCTCTGATTTGTCTCTTTTCTTAGCAGTGACTTTTGGTGAGAACCAGTTATCTGTTTGTGAAAGTACTAGTTGTGCATTTTTATAGTGTTTGTGGATCCTTTCTAAAAAGGTCTCCTTTACAATGTGAAATTATTCTCTTACGGTTTTTCCTAGAAGCTGTATATGTCAGCTTTCATTTTAGCTTTATTGGGTCTAAGAGATTTCTCAAATTAATTTGAGGTTGGAATCAAGATTTTTATCTCCTATAAGGTTATTCAGGTGTTCCAGAACCTTTTGGGGAAAAATTTTCTTTCTTTGTTGGACTGTTTTGCCAGGCATATTGAAAATCAATTGACTCACACATGTGTGTCGGTGTCTGGCTGTTGCTTTTCCCATTTGCCTACCTTTTTGCCTGGCTCTCGATTAGATGATGAGAAGTCTTTAACTCAGATGCGCAAGTCTTGCCAATTTGTTCTTCTTTTAAAGATGATTTTGGTGACTTTAAGTCCTTGCATATTTTTGTCATCCTTTATCCTCCCAAATATTGCAAGTTTACTTGGTGTGGGTTGAATTCAAAGATCAGATACTGATTCTCTTAACCCATAAACATAGTATATCTTTACCGAGATCTTTTAATTTTTTCCTCAACAACATTTTGTAATATGCAGTATATAGTTTCTTGAACATACTTTGTTAAAATGATCACTAATTCATTTGCTTTTGATACTACTGTCAGTAATGTTAATTTTCAATTTTTGATCCTAACTAGTCACTGATAGGGCATAGAAATACAGTCAGCTTTTACATATTGACCTCGTATAGACATCAATCCTTAAAATTCTTTGTGGCCATTAACTTAATTTTTTGTGAATAAAGACTAATTTCCTTATATGTTCCAATCTGAGGTCCTTTCTATCTTTTTCTGTCTTTTTTAGCTCTATCTCATCCTGCTTCTTTTTGTATGCCTTTCCTTTCTCTTTAGGTTACCCATTTGTTTTTTTTAAAGATTTATTTTTTTATTTATACAATAAATAAAAAATGGGGTACAGGCCAGAGTCGCAGGAAGGTGAGAGGATTCACCAGAGACAGAGTGGGGAGCAGAACAGGCAGACAGACTGAAATGCACTGCTGAGGGGAGCAGCAGGTGCAACAGGAGAGGTCTGCTGTGCCATGTGGGAATCTTCCTGGCCAGCCGGGAATTGAACCAGTGCTGCAGAGGCTGCAGACAGTTTCACAGCACTGTGCTCAACCCACTGCGCCACCGAGGAGGCCCCACATTTGTTTTTTTAATGTTCATATTTTCCTTTAAATCTTTGAGCACAGTTATAAAATCTTTTAAATATTTTGTCTGCTAATGCCATCATTTCTATAATTTCTATTTGTATTGACTGCTTATACACTAGGTCAGGATCACATTTAATGTTTTTTGTGTATCTAGTGGTTTTGAAATTTATGCCAGACATTTTGGATGTCATGTTCCTGAGTGACTTAATTTTGTTGTTTTCCTCTCAAGAGTATTGAGTTTTCTTCTGGAAGTCAGTTACTTTACTTTGATGCTTTTGTAGTTGCTTTGAATCATTACTAGGGTATTTCTAGAGCAATTTTTACTCTAGTTATACCCTAATGCTAAAATGTTACATTTCTAGTGTCTCTATTGAATGCACAAATATTCCACAGGGTCTCTCCTCTCTAGCTGATCAGAATCACAAATCTCCACACACAGACTCTCCCAGAGATGTATGAATTTTGTAATCTCCATTTATCTCACCACTTCCTGGTAGCTGTTATTTTCCTATTTGCTGGAGTCTCTCCCTTCACAAATGCAGCTTTTTACTCAGCCAAATACTTTTTGAAGACATCTATGCATATTTCTGGAACTCCTTCTCTGCACAGATCCTGTATAATTATTAACCAGCTTACAGTATATATATTCAATGGAGTACTACACAGCTGTGAAAAGGGATGAAACAGTGGCATTTAAGACAAAATATGTTGTCCTCAAGATGAATATGTTAAATGAAATAAATAAAAAGTGAAATATAAATATCAATTATTTCCCTCATCTGTGGAATATATATAAATAACCAAAAAAATACACAGGTAAAATATAGTAGGACTAGATCTTGAGCTCTGTGAAAGAACATAATGGTTACCAGCAGGAAGGGGGGAGGGGAGAGAGGAAGGATGGAGGAGGGAGACAGATGAGGTATGGCTTGGGTTATTCCGTGGAGTGTGAATGGAACATATGTACATATGAAAGAAGGAAAATGGAACTTCGAAACTTACAAATTTAAAAAGAAAAAAAATACCAGCTGCCTCAGTAAACCCATTCCAGTCTCTCTCTCCTCAGTTGAATAGGTCACTGGGTTCTGTTTTGGATCCAACTCCTGGCACTATAGTCTTTTAAACCCATGGTAATTGTATGGTTCATCCTATTTATTTCCCATTCTAAAAAGCCTCAATCCTGTGCTGCCTGTTGTCCATAATGTGAAAATAGTTTTTCATTGACTTGACAGCCAATTATTATAGAAATGCTGATCTGTTCAGACCTGATCTTTAGCCTATTTATCTGTCAATATCACCCATCAGCGTCTGTATACTTCCCAGCTCTCATCTGCCGTCCTGCTCTTGCTTTTCATGTCCTAGCAACTCATATCCTTTCAGACCACAGGAGCTCAGGGCCAATATGTCTTCCCAAGTCAAAAGACACATTTTTACTTATGTCCAACGAGAAAAATATACTTTGTCTTAGGGATTGGATGTTGGAGTGATAAAATTCATAGATGAAAGACTACATCTGCAGCAGGTGCTATGGAGTGATGCTTTCTCTAAGCTTTGGTCCTTTGTTCTGAACATTCCACTAGTGTGACCTCAACAGCTCCGTAGATGCCCAACCAACCCTGCTTCCATAAAACTATGCAGAAAAGAGAATTATCCTCTGACTTCTCTTCTTTCAGTCATTTGCTCAAAAAGTAAGATGCTTGAGGCATTTGTCTCACATCCAGAGGGAAAGAGAAGTTTGGTCCTAACTTCAAGCATGACCCTTCCAAAAGCTAATTCAGTGCCCTGTTGCTGGTCTTATGAATACGTACGCTCCTGGATATTTGCTGGGGGTCCTTGTATGGTGGTGTGGTCTCATTGATGACCATGATTGACATTTCTTTCCTGTGTTGGTCGTGGAAGATGTTCCCCGGTAGCTCGCCCCATTACCCTCGTAGCAATCCTGGACCACGGGAGTCTGCTCAGGCGGTACTGAAATTAAAACCGAAGAAATCAGCTGAATAATGACATGAACAGAGAAATATCTGGAGCAATTTTAGACACAAACAGAACAGAAGCTTGGAATTAACAGTGCCTTCTTTCCAGACTGGCCACTGGACATGCAAAGACAATTGGTCCACCCCATTTAATGGCCTAGTTTTAGGGGTTAGTATTTAATTTTCAATGCAGGAAATGATTAAAAAGTCAGAATGCTTATATTGGAAATTGCCCTTGTATCAATGTTTATTTTATGCCTCCTTGCTGGGTGTTCATGTAAACAAGTGATCAGGAGAGGGAGACACATTCTGTGGTGAGGATGAAGGTGATGATAGGCCTAGACCAGAACCTCTTACGTATTTTCCTGGACTCTTTGCTTATAGAAAGTCAAAGCTTTAACTTACTGGCAGATGGAGCAGGAATTGATTCTGCATCCAGGATTATATTTTGCTTCTCAGGAAGAGGCAGAGGCAAAAATATTATTTCCCTGGAGGAGTGAAAGTGAATCCTCTTGTGCTCAGGATCCTTTACCATATGAACAACTAGTCTGCTTCTCTTCCATTCAACACCCACCACAGACAAAAATGAGCATTCAGCTCCACGTGAAGAAGAGGTAAGAACAATGACAAACATGCCCTCGAAGCCCAGCTCTACATGGTTTTTGAAGACAAAGGTAAAGACATCTACTTCCACAAAAAGCTTAGTGCTGAGTAAAAAGAAATAGCAGTTTCACCACTAGCTTGGGTTTCCTGCATAGAGAGAGGGACCTCCTCTGGCTGCAGGCATGTGGTGACTGCTGAAAACTAGGAAATGATTAGGAATATTGAGAAAATGCCCCAGCTCTTGGGTCCCCTCTTCAGATACAAGATAACAGCAGACTATCGCTGCAAAAATTTGAATCCTGGTTCACCTAATTTAAAGGCAGGAACAACAAAATGCAAATTCAATTCATCTACTGCAGAGATTGATTCTCTGTATGTGTGGTCAGCACACAACATGCTGACCAAGGCAGAGGAGGCACATTTCAGTGTATAAATTATATCAACTGTGATCTCAGCTGTTCTACACATAATGTCAAATATTTCATTTAAAAAGTTGCCAAATAAATCCCCAAACCAGAAAGACAAAAGCCGCTCTTAATAAAGGAATCAACAGAGCCAGACTCAGTCCAACTAGCTATGGACACTATCACATTGAGAGTGTGATAAAATAATATGTTAAAGAATTTTGAGGTGCAGATGAGCAGTGGGAACAGAAAGAGAATTTCAGCAGCAATGGAAACTGCAAAATAGAATAAAATGCAACTCTTACTTAGAGTAAAAATTAAGATACTAGTGATGAAGATTTCTTTCAGTGGGCTGATCAACAGATTTTACACAACTGAGGAAAGAATCAATGAATTTGAAAGTAGGTAATAGATAATCATCCTAAATGACACAAGAAGGAGTCAGAAATAAAGTGAAATAAACATATAAGAGAACATGAGACAATATAAACTGGTCTAACATTTGGGTAATTGAAGCCCAAAAGAGGAAGCAGAGAGGAAGAGAGCAGGAAAAAGAATTAAGTAATAATGGTGGCATATTTTACAATTTTTCAGGAAGTGAATGAAAATAAATGTCCATCCATAATTCTATAACCAATAATATTATTTTTTAAATGAACAGCAAAATGCTTTCATACATATAAAAGCTGTGCTACAAAAGACCTGTGCAACAAGATAAATGAAAGTGAAAATTTTTACAGAAAGAATGTGACACCAGATGGAAATGTTCATCTATAAAAAGAAATGAAAAGCAAAAGTAATGTTTAAAAGTATGTCAATTAATAAAAGTGTATTTTAATAAACAAGAAAGATTTTTTTAGTTTTTTTAAAGATTTATTTATGCATACAAGAACTGGTGTACAAGTCAGAGGTGTGTGTGCAGGGGGGTGGTTAAGAGGATTCAACAGAGACAGAGTGGGGAACAGAACAGGCAGACTGACTGAAATACACTGCTGAGGGGAGCAGTGGGCGAGTCAGGAGAGGTCTGCTGCGCCATGTGGGTTGCCTCCTAGCTGGCCGGGGATCGAACTCAAGCTGCAGTGGCTGTGAATAGCTTCATAGGTTATGTCTTAACCCCTTGTGCCACCAGGGAGGCCCAAGAAAGATTTTTTTATATACAGTTTTAAACATGACTAACTGTTCAGAGCAAAAACAGAATCAATATATTGTGAGGTTTACAATATAATAGAAGTAAGCTGTGTGTGAATAACAGCACAACATTAGGGGAGGGAGGAAAAAGAAGTACAATGTTATAAGTTTTATGATACATCAAGTGAGATAAGATTATCTGAAGGCAGATTGTGACTTAAAACTGTGTATTGGAACTATTAGAAAAATTCTAAAAATATGAAAAATTGTTTCAACAAATGAGCAACTATTGGTGACAAAATACAATAGAAAACATTCAGTGAAACAAAAATCAAAAAGATGAAGGCAGGGACAAAATTCAAATAGGACAGGGCCTCCCCTGGTGGCGCAGCGGTTGAGCGCTGGGTTGCGAAGCTGCCCACAGCCTCTGCGGCGCCGGTTCGACCCCCAGCTGCGGGGCGAGGGTCCCACATGGAGCGCAGACCTCTCCTGCCACCCTCTGGTCCCCTCAGCAGTGTACTTCATCAGTCTGTTCCCTGCTCTGGCTCTGGTGAATTCTCTCACCCTCCAGTGTTTCTGACTGTACACAGAGCTTGTATAAATAAATAAATAAATCTTTAAAAAAAAAAAAAATTCAAATAGGACAAGCAAAACTAAATGGCTGGTCAATTTCAATCCAATCCTATAAATGCCATTATATGTAAATGACTCAGATATCTCAATTAAAAAGGCTCAGAAAACAGATAAAGTTGACTAACACTAGTGAAAATGATGGAGCAATGACTGTATCCATATCATCAAAAGCAGACCAGAATGAGGAAGGTTCCAGGGGTAAGGAGAAACATTGCATAAGGAGAAAAGGGCCATTTCTGGGTCTCCCTGGTGGCACAAGGGGTTAAGATGCAACCTATGAAGCTATCCTCAGTCACTGCAGTGCAAGTTCAATCCCCGGCCAGGCAGGGAGCAACCCACATGGCGCAGCAGACCTCCCCTGACACGACCGCTGCTCCTCCTCAGCACTGTATTGTTCTGTTCCCCACTGTCTCTGGTGAATCCTTTCACCCCTCACACCTCTGGCCTGTACCCCAGTTCTTGTATGCATAGATTTTTTTTAAAGAAAGGGTCATTTCTTCCAGAAGGCATGATAATCCTCAGTGTGTCTGTGCCGAACACAGAGCTCCAGAAGACAGAAAACAAACACAAAACCAAAAAGAAATAGACAAATGCACAGCAAGAGATGGGGACATCACCACTCATCTCAGCAAGCAATAGAGCAGGTCACAGAAAGTCAGCAAGGACAGAGAACAGCTGAAGAGCCCTAAGTGACTTGACCTAATTGAGCTTCATGAAACATTCTACCTGATAATTAGTTGCTGGTGCATTCATTTCAAGAGCACAGGAAACCTTACCCAAAATGCCATTATCAGAACCATAATATGCACTTCAACAAATATGGAATGAACAAACAGAGCATATGCCTGAGCAGAGCAGAGCACAGTGGTCAATGAAGCTGCTGCTCATGGTGACCCCACTGAGGCAGAGAAGCCAAGACAGCACTTAGGGACGTGGCTGAGTGTTCATGGCCCTGCTCACCTGTGGCATCTATATGTTCAGTGGATGAGGGCGGGGAGTCACAGGATGGGATGTTGCAATACTCCCACCTCACAGAACTGTTGGTTGTAAAGCACCACGGAGCTAATTCTCCATCAGGGTTACGACAATAGTTTGCATCCAAATCTCTGGAAAAGAAGTGATTGTGAGTCCAGTTTTCTAAAAAGGTTAAATATAGAAACAAGTTGACTTTCATTCAATATTAACATGAATACTGTATTGACCCTATCACTCTTATATGAACACACTGTATGAATGGCAATTTAGATACATATGTAGTCACTACGCTGACACAAATTGAATGACAAGATCTCATCAAACTGACATACATGCTTCTCTTCCCTGGGATCAGTGTTGGAATAGATTCCTTGACTGTGTAGAGTTAAACCAAAGAAGTCTCTTTGGCCACATGTCGGGCACTGTGCCATGGGCTGGGAGCACACTGGCCATCTCCACACTGTTGCTGTCTCCAAAAGTGAACACCCGAGCCATGCAACTGAAGGCATCCAGCCCTGGGGTTGGCCTGCTCTTGAACCACAGTGTACATGGGGTGGAGTCCTCATTTGGACCCATTGCCAGGATCTGCTCCCAGAATTTCCAGATTAGTAAGTAGCCTTGGAATATGGCCCTAGAATTAGATTTGGACCAAATTCTTGATGCTGCTGCTGCTGGTCTAGGGAACCACAATTTGAGAATCAGTATTTTAGGACAATAAATGCTAATTTTCACTTTAATTACTGGGCTAGTTTTTATTCCAAAATACTTGAATCCTAGCTCAAGGATTTTGACAGTAACTAAACCTAAGGGAAAATAAATGGATTTCGCAGTCCATAGCAGTGAACAGGTGAAACACCAGAGGGAGACTTACTTGCAAGGAAAGTTCTCCGGGGTTCTATTGTGTCTCTGTGGGGTCTGGTCACTCCAGCGCTGACAGGTGTGACCAGATGCCGTGACAGCCACCTTCCCGCGATAGCTCTCACCTCTTCCTTTCAGACACTGGTATGTTGGTCCAGATGGTGGTGGAGGTGTTGCTTGAGTGGGGAAAATAAATTACACTGAATAAATTTTTACATAAAGAATGCACAGGTTATGCTGAAGGGAGCAGCAGCCTGTCTGCTTGTTCTCCTCCTCAGAGCCAGGCCCTTGACAACCCATCTCATGAGGAGCACATTGGGCATATAAGTCCTGGGTGGATGCTTCTTTCTCTATTTGCTTTGCTCAGTCAGTCACGTGTGGATCAAACTGTGTAAAACCCATGCCCCAAATCTTGACATACATCAATCATTCAGCTCCCTAGTGAGTAGTAGATTATCCACTGAATGTCCATGACTGAATTACACACAGCAGTCACAAGACCACACAAGAGACAGGAGTGTCCTCGGAAAGAACACAAAATGTCTCCAGGAAAAAGCACATGCATGCAGGTATCAAGATATTCTTGAGGAAATTAAAAGACGGTGAGAAAGGAACTGAGGTTCATAATGGAGACTCTCTTCAGAGCTCTATAGCTCTCTGACGTCCCACAGAATGATTGTTAGAGCTGAGGACAGCAGGCCAGCTGAGTCCACCTCACCACTGACAACTGTCTTTGTCTAGAAGTTCAGTCCCTTCAAATTCTCACCGAAGGGTGATACTATAAAGTTCTTTCCTCCAAGTCTTTCTTGCCGAGGTGTTCATTTTCCACAAACTCTGCCACTGTTCCCAACACCTTGGAAATACTGAACAAATGACACCCAGTGAAGCTTTTTGTTTACAAAGCAACAATTAGGAAGGACTGTAGTTGACGATGAAACCCACGTTCTAGAAGGTATGTATCTGAGTTCCCGTTAGCACCAGAATGAAGTAGGAAATCAGAGATGCCTTCCTAGAGCCCACATTCAACTGTATTCTGAAGAGGCAGGAATTTCTAAAGGAAAACAACAAGCAGATGCTCTGGCCAATTGCCTTCATAACCATAAATCGCCTTAGAAGAGTAATAAAATAAAGACCAGTCACATCTCGTGGAACTTGGCCTGCAGACACTAATACATCTTTTTTCTTTGTGCCAAGGGAAGGACAGGCCAGAATCCCTGAAGACTGGGTGGAGCCATACTTACTACAGCGTGGGATGTCACAGAATTCCCAGCGTTTTTGGGGATTTGTGGTGAAACACCAGGGGCGGGGCTCTCCATCCGGGTTACGGCAGTAATTCATCTTCAAGTTCTTGCTTGGAAATCTGAATAGGTGAGAAGGATTTTAACAGCACCGAACATTTACACTCATGGTGAGAGCAGTGTCATGTGAGCCCGTCTGAAGCACCTGCCACATGCTGGTCAGGGCAAGCACCCGAGTCGGTGGTGGGGTAAAGGCCATCCTCAAAGAGGTGCCAGTCTCGTAAGAAGCATGCTAGTTAGTTTACATGTACGACATTACCGAGCAAATCAATAACTATCTCCATCTGGAAAAGTGATTTAAGCAAACTCCAGTTATTCATGTGCAAATAATCACAATTTTTTAAAATAATAACAATTTTTAAAACATAAAGTACTCATTGACTAGAAATAGTCAAGAAGTACAGCCAGAAGTTGGCACCTTCAAAGCTTAAAGGAACGGTCCTTCTGGTAGAGCAGATTCTAGTCTTGCTAGCTTCTAGATTTATAGAAACTCACAGACAAGCTGTGCCTCTGTGAGCTCACACCACAGTGCACCCCTTAGCGCAGTCAGTGGCTAGGACTGTGAGACTGAAACTGAGCTTTGGTGCCATTGTTTTCCAGACCCCAAGAGTGCAAAAGAAAGAAAAAAGTTAGCCAAACTTTTTGAAGCTTGTATTTACAGAAAGCAGATTCTGAATCTCACTGACCCAGCTTGAGCAAGTAGAAGCCAATGACCTTGAACTGAGCTCCAGGGTCAGCTGGAGATGAGAATGCAGAGGAGAAGCATCCTACCCAGAGGCAGGGACCCACTCTAGAAATTCAAAACCTCAGATATGTGAGAAAAGCTTCCTCATACTTACGGATGAACTGCCCAAAGACTGGGCAATGAAGCTTAGCCAAGTCCACCATTTCTTTGCCCTCAGTCTGCTTTTCAAACAATAAAATTGAATTCATTTTTTCATAATCCTGCCTCCTAAAACCTGTGTAACCTCAGCTGGTTCTTACTTGGAAGGGAGGTACCCATGGGCATGTGGGGTCTGAGAGTCCCAGGCCTGGCATTCAATTCCGGACATGGTCTTGGAAATTTTGCCCACATAATGTTCTCCACTGCAGTGCATACATTCATCTGGGTAGACAGGGGCAGAAGGAAAGAGAGGATGAAAAAAGCCAAATGGATGAAGCAGACAAGGGTAAAAACTAGACTCCCACAGAAAGGCCTCTAATACCTCTTCCCACATGCTCGTATGTACTTTCCAACAATTGCTTGGTGATGAAATTGTCAATGAAGACCCCATTCTCTAATACAATTTAAAACGTCCTTCTTCAAAGAGTAAAATCAGCATATTTTGGTCAAACGCCTCCCTCCCCATCAACTAGTAGATTCACGAACAAACCCACACATTCCACAATGCCTTGTTTGCAAACAGGGGCACACTGACCCCTGGTGGGCAGGATGAAAACTGGGGGACTAGGGTCCTGTGTTCTCAGAAGTCTGTCGATCTTCTATAGGATTTTTAACTTTTGACATTTTCATTTTCAGTCATGATCTTTATAATTTTCTATAAAATTATTCTGATCAGATGGGTGGTTACAAAATAAGATGGGACCCTCCTAGGACTTAAAGCGGGAGATTCTGCTTGTGCTCTTGGCTTTGCTGGAGAATGCTGTTGTCTCAAAGGACAGTCATTCCTTTTTATATTTTTGAGAAGCACAACTGACTGATTTGGGCTTTCTTAAATTATTTAAAAACTCAGTCCGTTTAGCAAGGACTTTTCGGGTGAACTGCTTGACTGGTCAGGCTATTCAAACAATGAAGTGTTGATGTGAAATCCAGTTCATTGCTTAGCTTCAACCAAACAATAACGTGTACTGCCTTCAGTCACTGTTGTTTGAGTTTTCTGAGTTTGGTGCTTCTATTTGAGCTATTTAATTGCAAATTAGTTCAGCAATTGTTTGGTGGTATAGGAGCTTTAAGCACCAGAAGTTTATTTCTGGAGTTTATATCTCATTTTATATCTGGAGGTGTTGAAGTAACACTGATAAAAATAATCGTGACCGTAACAAAGGTCTGTGCAAACTTCTGGTGCTTTCCAGGAGGTGTGCCCATCTTTCCATCTTGCCCGACAGGTGCTAATTGGTAGCTAATAACACCCCGTGGGAGACTGCCGGACAGCAAGTGACCGTGCAGGCAGGCGTGGACAGACTTTCTAGAGCACCCCGCTGACCTTCGCACTGGGGAATGTTGCAGAAGTCGTATCTGAGGTCAGGATCTGTGGTGTAACACCAGGGCCCGTCCGGGTCGTTGTCCGGGTTCCGGCAGTAATTCTCCTCCAGGCCCTCTTGCGGGTATTGGTCAGGGGAGAACCTGCGGAGGAAGGAAAGCAATCACTGACAGTGTTTGCACATCCGTGTGTTATCTGCAAAACGAGAAGCTTCTATCTGAGGCTGCAGGTTCTGTCGTCCAACAATCTTTGGGCTGAGCGCTGAGCTCTGTGCTGTGCGATCTTCTGTCTCCCCACGGACTGGCGTCTCCAGCACAGTCACTGGTGTGACCGTAGCTGCAATGTTGACACCACGTCTGAGACAGAGGGCCACCTTTCCACGAAGTGGGCAGAAAGAAAGTCTCAAACCCTATCATTTTCCTAACCTTCCAAACCCTGCATCTGGCAGCGCATTTCTCTCTGTAAAAACAACTGTAGTCATTACCTCATGTCTGTGAGGACTTCGTACCGAGTGTTAACGCTGAAACCTCTGTGTGCCGTCTCTCAATTAGTCTTAATAAAATCCCCATCAGGATGGGGTTACCCCGGTTTGACAGAGGAGGATATGGAAAAGCAGCAACACAAAACAGAATGAATCTTGCCTGAGCTTGAATGAGAAGTGAGTGGCAAGTGAGGTATTTAGAGTTGGAGCTGCTGGTCCCTAAGTGCTCCCCTGAAACACGGCAGAGTTAATAGGGGGAGGGCTTCATGCTCATTGTCAGTTCTGGGGGTGAGCCGCTACAGAGAGAGAAAAAATTAGATCAATAGCCCAAGACTTGAATCTGGAAAGGCAGCGTTTGTTCTGGTTCTTCTGGTAAAATGCACCCTTTCAAGATCTGGTCTCCTCCGCTGCTGGGTGGAGCAGACCCACGTGAGCCCGGGACCCTGGCTCAGTGATTTGACCATTTGGTTGAATTATTTTACCTCGATGTCCTGGAAATATTAGCTCTGCCCTTCTCATGGGGATGTGAGAAGGTGATGTGGGGGTTGAGGGCAGCTAACAGACACTAAATTCCTATTGAATGAGCAGATACTGAGAACATAAGGCCTCCTAACACCGTATTAGGGAAAGTCTGAAAAAAAAAAAAAAAAAGAGAGACTAAAGCAGAGCAGAGTTGTGAGAGAATCTGTTTTTCACTGAGGTTTTATTTCCTGTTTGGCTCCAAAATGTTCCGGTGAACACAGGCGAGGGTCTGAGTTGATGAGCTTGACTGTGGCCGATCTGCCCTACACAGTGATCTCTGGTCTTTTCTCAGACTCGGCCTAGAATCCATGGTGTTCTTGGTCCTTGTTCTAAGTCTTCTGGGGGGGCACATACACAAGACTGCGGGAGAGCAACCATCTTCCACTTTCATTCTACAAATCAGTGGCCCTTCCCACGTCATCTCTGGAAGGTTCTCTGAACCTAGTTGCTCACATATTCTGTTTTGACCTAGAATTCATGGGCTCCGCCTCTGTCCGGCAGGTGGACTTGGAGGTGAGAGAGAGCGGCTTACCTGGGTCTGTGTGGGAACGAGCTGCTCCACTTTTGACAGGTCACGCCATTTTTCGTCTTGGATATCGTGCCCCTGTAGTTCTTCCCATTTCCGGTCTTGCACTCTGAAAGATACACTGAAAGGAAGAAGTGGTCAGCTGCCTTCCCAAGAACACCAGGGAGAGACCCTGCACGGGTTGACAGAAAGGGCTTGCACGTGGGAGACACCGTTTCCTCTGATCTAAAGAGCGAGTGCTGCCAACTGGGAGGTTTTGCGCGGCTTATAAATATTTGCTTTGGTGCCTCCAGTTCATACAATTGTTTACCAGCAATTTAAGTATTTCATGAACGCCAGCTTTGTCCACTGGTGCATTTATCTTACTGCCGTCCCCTGAATGTGTGCTGGTGTGGCCCTAGTGGTGGTGTTAAATAATGACAAGCCATAAGTGTCCACTATAAAAAATATATACTTTTAAAAAAGAAACTTGTCATTGATTAATTTATGAGCCTATTAAAGTAAGAAAAAAAAAATAATGTTTTAATATGAATGGGTCGAGTGCAGCAAATCCTAAACATTATAGTAACACAACGTTGTAAGGGCTAGAAGGTTCCTCTAGCGATTCCTGATCTTCCCATTTCCAGATGAAGAAATTTAGACCTCAAGTGATAACAGACTCAAATGATAAACTCTAAAGATAGTAGGTGGCAGATCAAGGCTCTCAGCAGCAAGGAAGTGCCCTGTTTAGTTCTGAAAGAGCTGTGTTCACCGAGCCTTTTGGCCTGTGGCTCATGCACTGGACGTGGTACCCCCTGGGGCCAAGCTTGCCAGCTGCTGGGGACGCAGGGAACATGCAGCAAGACCCTCCTTGGCGGCGCTCACATTCTAGAGGAGTCAGGGGCTGGTCCAAGAGCCATCAAGGACACAAATTATAAAATGAGGGGATATATGGTAGCAGAAACAACACCCTGAGGAGAGAGTGAATGGGGCTGAGATGTTTTAGGCAGAGATCAAACTCACTCCTATTTTTTGAGGTTTCAGTATTTTGAATGTGAAAAGGTACCGAATGGGCTATCAAACTGTTAGCCACTTTACATATTTACAACATGTTTTCGGCTGCCCACCCAGCCACCCACCGGCCAGTGGGCGCCATCCTCTCTTTGAAACACACTGTCAGTTGCCCGCTGGTGACCTGCCTGTGACCGACAGTCACTTTCCAGGGTGCCCACCCACTTCTGCTCCCACCACTTGGGTTGTATGCTTCCGAGATTCAGTTGCTTTTATTGTCAACTGTTTATACAACTAGATTTGATTAAAGAGGATCTAAACTGAGAAAAGAATATTTAAAAGTATAGCTTAAGATCAGTGTTTTAAGTACTTGAAAGGGATGAACTGTTTCAAGATTTGCTATCACATCCACCGAGGGCAACCCCCTCACCTGAGTGACTCAGAGTGTGAGAGAAACTCATATAACAAAAAGTTATTCTACAGTCAGAGCGATCAATAGCTGTCTCTAGACCTTGCTCCACTTCAAAGAGGAAATGTATTATTACAGGCAGTGCACAAGAGTGTGGTTTATGCAAGAAAACACCAGATACCTTCTGCTGGTGACCCCAGAGGTGAAAAAACAAAAAGCAAAAAGCATCTGTTGTTCATGAGAAACACCCAGGTAAACTGGGTTTGTCAATGAGCATGTAAAGAATTTAAGGTGGATGTGTCATCCCTTATGATCCCCGACATTAGCCATGTTTTAATTAATTGATCAATTATCTGGGGTCAGTACTTGTAGGGCACCTACGGCAAACTGATGCGTTCAACCAAGCATGACATGTGATGTTGTCACTAGCTCTTCATGGAGAGGTATTGTCACCATAGACATGCTACATTTATCAAAAGTGCAAACTCAAGGTACTTTGGAAGCCTCAGACCCGGGAGATAGGGAGGATCTGGCCATGGGAAGAATAGAGGTGTCCCCTGCAGAAGAAGGTGGCCTGGCAAGTGGGCGGGACCAGATCCCTGCCAGTGTAGAAGTGAGGGCCCTTGGCATTGGGTCGGTATCTGAGTGTCATGCCAAGGGCATCAGGGAGGAGACCAACCAGCCTCTTCGGGGGCCCAGCCAGTGACAACGCGGCTAGGACCCAAGGGCGGCAGGTGGCAGATGTAAATGGGAACTGACCTGACTATTCCCGGAACAGCCTGGCAGCGCGGCCGCGGTGGGTGGATAGCCCACAGTAAAGAAACAAGCATCAAAAATGACTTTTGACTTTTCACCTCTCTTCTGTTTATATGTACCTGCTGGCGTTTATATAACCTTCGCTCCTCTCCACCACCTTGACAACCAGCAACGATTCAACTCCTGATGCTCCTTCTGGTTAACAATTTACAAATGTCATATTTATTTTTTTTAATTTTTTTATTTTAACATTTATCATTTTTTACGTCTTTTTAGGCAATATTTGCTTCTCCCCCACCCCCTCAGATTGAGTCCCCACAGAACTTCCTTCCCCGGGGCACCCGTGCACCATCACCTCAGTCCCCTGTGCTCCTCCCTGTCTCCCTCTCACCCCTCTGCCTCCTCCCCTGCAGGATGTCTCTGGTTTATAATTGTCTGTTTTTGCTTTGTTGTGGTTTGTACTGTTATTATTATTATTTTTTACACCTATATCTCATTTGGTTCCCCTATATTCCTGCTATAAGTGACACTACCCAATATTTTTCTTTTTCCTTCTGGCTTATTTCACTGAGCATCATTCCTTCTAGCTCCATCTACATTGCTGTGAATGGCATGTGTTTATCTTTTTGAATGCTGAGTAATATTCCGTGGTGTATATGTACCACATCTTCTTGATCCAGTCATCTATTTTTGGGCATTTGGGTTGTTTCCAGGTTTTCCCTATTGTAAATAGTGCTGCAATAAACATAGGGGTGCAGGTGCTCTTTTGAATCAATGTTTTTGTGTCCTTTGGGTAGATCCCTAGGAGTGGAATTGCAGGGATGTATGGCACAAATGTCATATTTAAATATTAGCATTTTGAAGGGAGAATCCACTGGACCTTCTTTGTTTTCATTTGATGGCTAGTAGGTAATGCTGTATGGAAGAACTCGCTATAGGTAAGAACATATAACGTCACCGCAGAAATGTCAGATTTACTCTGTTCTGTAATCTCAAGCGGTGGAGGTGGCAGTAGCAGCAATACCGTCGCAGAGCTCAGGATGAGCCAGTGTGTAGAATAACCCTAAACTAACTAAATACTTTTAATTTTTTTTCTTTTTTGATGACACTAGAATGTAGCAAGTCACTGTCAAAAATCCACGAGGCAGGATAGTTCTCCTTATCTTTAACACTTGTGGTATAGAACTTGGGGGCTAATTGGATCCTACAGATGGGAAGGGGAAGCACCACACGTCCTCCTTACTGGAACATGCACGTGTATAAAAAGACAGACAGGAACTCTACACGCTGGGACTGTTTATCTAGAAATTCAGGGAAACTAGGGAAAAGGACTACTAACTCCTACACACTTCCCAATAGCATTTCAGAGTCTGGGAGAAATATAGATCATGACCCCCCAAAAGTAGAATTTTGTGAATAAAAATAAGGACCCCTCTCTACCCAAAGGATACTGAGGATTAAAAGCAGCTCAGTGTTCCGACTCAGCTCAGCCTCGCTCCTCCCACCCCCGCAGGGCACGATGTGGCTGCAGCTGGGGGTGGCGAGGCCTAGTGAAACGGTCGGGAAACCAGATGACTTCACACTCGTCAGATAGCAATAAACCCGATCAAGTGTATCAAAGACGAGGGCACACGCAAAGCTCTTCGACACTGGAAAGCACGGTGGCTAGCAGAGGGGCGGGGGCAGGGGGGTGGGGAGATGTCCTGGTGCCCAGACACCAGAGCTTTGGTGGCGTGAGCGACACTGGCGTGCAGGTGGGGCCTGGCACTGGGCTCCTCAAATTAGATAGCTTTGTGGGTGAACCGTAAATCAGCAACATCGATTTAAAAAAAAAGAATGCATGGACCAACAAAAATTCTGTTCATATATTCAAGATAATCTCTGCTCCGATAAATCACAGATAATAAAAAATGGGGGAGGCAAGGCTAGGAGGGAGGAAAAGGAAAAGAGGCAGAGGAGGAGAAAGACACTGGACTCACTTTTCTTTTCAAATAAGATGACATCCCGTCTCCGGATCACCGGGGCGGACTTGCTGTTGTCAGCCATGAGCACGCACTGCTGCTCTTTGCTGTGGAACTGGAAAGCCCTGCGGGCAGAGGCGCAAGCACAGCAGAGGTTTGCCTTTATTTAAGGGAAGCAAGTTTGTAATAATAAATGAGAGAACTCCAGAGGCGATTGTATCTCTTGGTGGATGAAGGAGCGCAGAAGAGTTTATGCCACAAGAGCAGGCAGCTCCTCACCTCATGCCCTCACCACCCCTCTCCAAATGTTCTCTTTCGACTCATCACTCACTTGTTCATCCCAATGAAGTGCAGAGCATTTGCTTTGGTGCTAGGAGGAGGTGACTGACGCTCTGAGCCGTTCCCCAGAGGCTCTAAATGACGCCTGACTCCTACCATCTCCCGTTGACCCCCAGCTCTACATGCGACCCCTCCCCTTCACCTCACCCTCCCTCGCCCATCCTCATGGGCCTCGGGGCTATGCCACCTGGCATCCAGGCCCATCCCGTGCCTCTGCAGCCCCTCTCCTGCACAGCCTGGTTTGTCCCTGGTATCTCCCTCAGGCTCATGGCCACACTGCCCCTCTGCCTGGGAGGCCCCTCCATGTCATCTTCACTAGAACCTCGCTGGGTTCCCGCCTGCCCGCAGGCCTTCTCTAGCTGCCTCATCCTTGGGGATTCTTTCCTCTGAACCTTCACAGCATATGTAGTGATATGATGCTTACTGGTACTTTGTATTCTTTGGCTGCCTTTTAAAAAATGCTTTTTGGGGCCTCCCTGGTGGTGCAAGGGGTTAAGCACGGCACTATGAAGCAATCCGCAGCCTCTGCAGCATGAGTTCGATCCCCAGCCAGCCAGGGAGAAACCACATGGTGCGGCAGACCTCTTCTGTCTCGCCTGCTGCTCCCCTCAGCAGTGTCCTTCGGTCAGTCTGCCTGTTCTGTTCCCCACTCTGTCTCTGGTGAATCCTCTCACCCCCCACACCTCTGGCCTGTACCCCAGCTCTTGTATGCATAAATAAATAAACCTACAAGATATACTAAAAACTAGAGCTCAGAACAATAGTGGCTGATATAATGTATAAAAGGAAATAACTTCTTTCAGGATCCTTGTTCTAAAGCAGACGCTAGCAACTGTTGTTTTGGTACCAGACAGGAACAAATACAGCTTCCAAACTGGTCCTGTGAAGTTCTTCCTTCCTGTTAAGTCCTATGTTTGTTAATAAATTCACAAACAAATTTCGTATTGCCACAACGATAGCCTCAAAATGCGAGATCCCGGCCTAAGTTCAACGCGAGTGCAAGTACCTGCAGATGAAGCCAGTCTCCTCCTCGCACTTGGCCGCACAGTCTGCGATGCTTCCCAGGTGCAGCTGCTTCCTCGTGGTGCTGATCAGCGAGGCCCCCTGGGTGTTCACATAGTCGTCCAGGGGGTCTCCCTGACCTGTACATGGGGGTGAAAGTGGGACAATTGATCCTGTAGTCAATAGCACTCTGTAATTATCATCATTTGCCATTATTTGCATTGTAGCAATCATAAAACTGGGTGCTTTATTAGGAGAGAATGGGGGGCTAGGAATGAGATTATCTGGTCAGGAATCCACTCCATTAATTCACTGTGATACTGAAAGAAAGACTGGGTCTCCAGAGTAAAAGATCAGAACTATCCAGCAACTTCTTTGTGACAACTTTAATGGGGTTGAGCTCTTGGATAAGAAAACGTGATCTGCTTGCTATGCACATCCGGGTCCTGGTGGACAGGGAGTTGCCACGGGTGGCAGCCCTGGAGTTACCCACGCCAGGAAGGGTAGAACTTGGAGCCCGTCTGTGATTTCCAATGTGCAAGCTTCGGTTGTGACACTCACGGTAACGGATGTAATTAACTATCTCTCAATGGTTCCACCTCAAGATAACAAAGATTTGGGTGAGTTGATCATGTTGAGAACCAATAAAACCTGCACTGAATCTCAGCTGCAATACAAGGTCATCTTTGCTGGGCTGAGTCCCGTGACACGTCACCATTAATAACAGGAGAGAATGGTTTTCACCTTGATGCCAGGTGTTTAGGAGAAATTGTGAAAGACCACAGCTTGGGACAAAAGCTGGGCCTCATTTTTCAGTGAGATCAAATCTGAGGCCGAGCACCCCCCTGGGACCTTGCGTGGTGCCATGCAGGTCCACACAGCGTGTTCCCACCCTAGGCCCCAGGCCGCACCTGACCCAGTTCAACAGCTCTGTCCCAAGCCTGGAGCTGTCGACCTCTGACCTTCTGGGTAGGAACACTCTCCATTTTCACAGGATGAGAGGCCAAAGCAAGTTGAGAAAATGAAGCTAACAAGTTTCCCAAAAGTTTGCCAAAATGGGATTAGGCAACATGGCAACCTTGACCACTTTGGGAGCAGGGGGCTGGGCCCAGAGTCAGCCTGAGCGGGTTGGAGGGGGACAGGGACAGGCGCTGGGACAGCTGGAGGAGACAGGTCATGCAGAGGCTGCTGTGAAGGAAGCACTTCCTCAAAGCATCTGCAGGAACAGTTTGTACTTGAGACGAGGCATTCTAGAGCCTGTTGGCATCGTGATGGGAATCACCCAACAGAAAGGAGCGTCGAGGGTCAGGTCCTCATCCTCAGGGAGGCCATCCCCACCCACCCGGGTGGGCACACACTGCCCAAGAGCCATGCCCAGGACACTCAGACGAAGGCACCCCAGTCCTTGACCTCTGCCCTCGCCCTCCTTGCTCATACCCAAACCAGAGGGGGTAGTTGCCCGGGAAGTTGGCTGGGGCAATTTTGCTTAAGCCACCAAAAAGCACCTGATCAAGTGGATCAAAGATGATGGAGAACTAGGGCCTCCCCGGTGGCGCAGCGGTTGAGCGCTGGGTTGCGAAGCTGCCTGCAGCCTCTGCAGCGCCAGTTCGATCCCCAGCCACCAGGAGAGGGTCCCACATGGCGCGCAGACCTCTCCTGCCGCCCGCTGCTCCTCTCAGCAGTGTACTTCGTCATTCTGCCTGCTCTGTTCTCCCCTCTGGCTCTGGTGAGTTCTCTCACCCTCCTGCGCTTCTGACTATACCCAGTGCTTGTATAAATAAATAAATAAATCTTTAAATAAATAAATAAATAAATGTGAATCTTCTTTAAAAAAAAAAAAAAAAAAAAAGATGATGGAGAACTAAACATGAAGACACACAGTCAGGACTTTTTCTGCATTTTCTCCCGGTCTGTGCTCTCATTTCCAGAAGACTGTGCTTTGGTAAATCTGTCCATGTGATATAAAGTACAAATGCAGAAACTCTATAAATGGTATCCCCAGGAGAGTGAAATTAAGCCTTTTGAGGAGTTTTTAGACTTCGGAGCAGGCCAGTGGCTGCGGTGTCCAAACATGAGAACTCCCATTTGCGTCCCTTTAGGACGTTCCTTGCCTAGAGCCGCCGAGACGCCCCCGCAGCTGGTATCCCAGGAAATAGCCTCGCAGGCACTATTCTTTTCTCGTTTGGTTTGAAAAATTTTCTCTTAATGTTTTCTTAAATCCAACTCCAGGGCTCATATGGCAATGGGGTGTACTGTGGTTTATTTGTTGACCAAGAAATATTAACAGATCTTGGGGCCTCCCTGGTGGTGCGAGGGGTTAAGCGTCAGCACTATGAAGCTGTCCACAGCCACTGAGGCACCAGTTCAATCCCCAGCCAGGAATGTGACCCACATGGCTCAGCAGACCGATCCTGGCTCCCCGCTGCTCCCTTCAGCAGTGGATTTCAGTCAGTTTGCCTGTTCTGCTCCCCACCCTGTCTCTAGGGAATCCTTTCAGCCCCCACACCTCTGTACGCATAAATAAATCTTTTTTTTGAAAAAAAGGAATATTAACAGATCTTTTTTAAAACAAAGTGTTTTTATGCACAAGAGCAAATATAGATACATTTGCTACCAAAACCAAACCTTGGCACTAAAGGACTATTTGCTGTGTTACGTCACAGGGCACACAGATGCCTGTGGTTTCTGCGGGTGTAAGAAGCAAGCATGTATGTTTGGAGCTTTGCTTAAGCCATGGCAAACAGGGAACTAGCGAAGACGATGAGAGGCTGGTCAGGAATGGCAGATAGTCAGGAGATGGGTCATTGTTTAAGATAGAAAGTGAGGAGCATGTGACACCCCAACAAAAATTATATAGTCAAGCTCAGACAAGGAAAGAAGACTGACAGCTTTGGGATGGTGAACTACACAGGCTTTTTTTTTTTTCCTGCTAAAATAACCATCATTTAGGTTCAATCTTTTAGAAGTGAAAAGTCATTCTTCATTTTCTCTGCCATTTTTTCCCACTGTTCACAGTGAAATTAAATTTATTTCTTGAAGAATTCATCATCGGCCTCCCCAGTGGCGCAAGGGGTTAAGTCTCAGCTCTAAGAACTCAGCCTCTGTAGCATGAGTTCGATCCCCGGCCAGGGAGCTACCCACATGGTGCAGCAGATCTCTCCTGTCTCCCCGCTGCTCCCCTCAGCAGTGGGTTTCAGTAGATCCTCCTGCTCTTCTTCACACTCTGCTCCTGGTGGGTCCTCTCACCCGACTCCCACACCTCTGGCCTGTACCCCAGCTCTTGTATACATACATCAATAAATTGTTAAAAAAATTCATCAATCAAAAAAATTCATCAATTCCTGATTATGAATCAGGAATCTCATGAGTCAATATTAAATTGAACACATGGCACCCAAAGACATGGGCTGTCTCTGTCTAATACAGTGCTAGGAAAACATTATTGATTAGAGTGAAAGAAAACTTTAAATCTTACCTGATTTCAGAAACAAAAGAAGCAGAAGGACCACTTCCTTATGTTCCATTTTGGGACTGGCTAGAGTTTCCAGCAAGCCGTCTGTCCCAATCCCAAAATGTGTGACTTGCAGGAGAGGAAATGCGTCCACAATCAATCAAGATCCATCAGTAGTTAATTATTTGCGAGGGCCCTCCCACTGCAGGCGGGAGGGGTCAAACATCACCTGATGAGAGGATGTTGAAACATTTGAGAGTAGAATCTGCAATAGCTGCTGGGAAGTGGAGGCAGCAGATCCCCTCCCCCCACCCCCACCCCCACCTGCCGCCCCCTGCTTGCCAGCTACTCATGGGCCCTATTTTCTGATTCCTCACCTCACCCACAGTCCTCACCTTTCCCACTTAGTCTAGTTTCCTTCTCTCTTCTTTCCTTCCCTTTCTTTTGGGTAGACATCAAATCGGATTGCCTACAACCTTCTGTGCACCAGCCCTCCACCCAGTGGCACTCACTCAGCGCAACTAAACCGGGAAACAAGCAGCTCTTACCACCCACTTGAGATGAGGTGGTTCTGGTTAAGGAGGCTTCACCTCCCAAGCCCACATGGCTGATAATGGGTGAAGCTAATAGACACAGATTAATATAGGTCTTATGTCTCCATGGTCCCCTAAACAGGGTAGAAATGACTATGCAAGTAAAGACATTTTGTTATTCTCCAAGTTTCTCTATTCCCACTAGATTGCATGTTTTCTAACTCCAAATTATGTGTATATCGTTCCCCGAAATGAATTCACAATGCACTATATTCTCATCCTTATGAGATAAAGCAAGAATGGGAAAAATTACGCTTAAAGTGTGTGTATTGATTCTAATTCCAATAAAAATTCTAAATAAATTCCAAATTCCATATAAATGGAGCAAATATTGCTGCAATTCATATGGAATCACAAAAAAACTCAAATAGCCATAGCTCTCCTGATTAAAAGGGTGAAGAATGGACATATTACATTTTGAGATGTCAAACTGTACTACAAAGCCATACTAATAAAACAGTATGGCACTGGAACAAAAAAACAGACACACAGACCAATGGAATCAAATTGAAAGCCCAGAAATAAAACCACACATATATGGTCAACTTATCTATGACACAGGAGCAAAGAATATACAATGGCACAAGGAAAGCCCCTTTAATAAATGGTGCTGGGAAAACTGGCCCACCACATGCAAGAGAAGAAAACTAGACTACCACCTCATACCATACACAAAATTCATTCAAAATGAATAAAAGACTTGAAAGTAAGACCTGAAAACATAAAATATATAGAAGAGAACACAGGGAAAACACTTCATGACATCAGTCTCAGAAGCAGCTCTGAGGAATCATCTCCAGAAGCACGGAAAACAAGGGAGAAGATCAACAGCTGGGATTCCAGCAAACTGAAAAGCTGCTGTACAGCAAGAGACAACCAAAACCAAGAGACAACCAAAACCAAGAGACAACCAAAACCAAGAGACATCCTACTGAGTGGGAGAAAATATTTGCACATCACACAACTGATAAGGGACTAATATCAAAGATCTACAAAGAGCTTACACAACTAACATAAACAAAGCAAACAGCGCAGTCAAAAAATGGGCAGAAAAGCTAAAAAGACACTTCTCCAAAGACGAAATGTAAATGTAAATGCAACAGGCATAGGGAAACGTGTTCAGCATCATCTATCATCAGGGAAATGCAAATCAAAACCACAATGAAATAACATCTCACACCGCTGAGAATGGCCCATATTAAAAAATGCTGGCGAGGATGTGGGGGCAAAGGAGGCCTCACACTGCTGGTGGGAGTGCAGACTGGTCCAGCCGTATGGAGAGCTGTGGACGAGCCTCAGAACACAAAAACAGATCCACCATATGGATCTGTTCCACTCCCAGGAATCTACCCAAAGGACACAAAGACACTAATTCCAAAGAAAGCCTGCACCCGTGTGTTTATAGCAGCGCTGTTTACCATAGCCAAGATGGTGGAAACAACCTAAGCGCCCCCAAATACAGGAGTGGAACAGAAAGCTGTGGTCTACAGACACCAAGGAACGCTGCTCAGCGATCAAAGAAGACAAACTTGTGCCATTTGTGGCCTCATGGATGGAGCTGGAAGGGACGATGCTCAGTGAATTAAGTGAGAAGGAAAAAGGTAAATACCGGATGTTTTCACTCCTGTGTGGAATATGGAGGAGCCAGACAAAAGGATGAGAAACAGACACAACTTGCAAGCTGACCATAGATCTTGGGCATCAGTGAGGGAGGGAAAGGGAAACTGACCCAAACAGGGGAGGGAAGAACACAAGGGACTGTGATGATGAATCACGGGTGTTATGGTGGTGGGAGAGCTCTGGGGATGACACCTGAGAAGAGAAATCCAAGAAAATAAATTTATTTAAAAAATAAAGCATTTGTATTGATTCTAATGTTGATTTTATTCTTTCTCTTGGGTTATGATAAGAATTATCACATAGTACAGACTTGAAAACTCCTATTTCAGTGTTCACAAGTATTTAGCAATAATTAATTTGACTCAATTTTCAATGGGAAATAAGGACAAGAAACACTCTCTGTCCTCCAGGCCATGAAATTCCTTTCTACTTATTAGCTAGCAAACGGTAGCCGTGGGCTCCAAATGGTCTGGGTTGGGACTGTCTGCGGAACTGAAGTCTTGTGCAGAATTCCCAAGAACAAACATCCAGGAAAGCAAGAAGATGACACATGGTGACCAGGCAGCACCTGATGATATTTCCTTCCTCCTTTACCCCAGCTTCCTTTCCTCAAGCATTTCCCTCCCCTCTCTGTCCTCCATTTCTCACCTAATTGGACCAACTTAAAAAGAAAATCTGAAATGTCTTTTAGAAGGTTTATGTGAGTATGTCTGGGAATGGAGAAACAGACTTTATTAATATATAATGTTTCCAGTATGTTATTTCTTTCCTTTTCTAAAAAAATGTCAGTTAAATCAAGTTGTTTGATTTATTTAAACATGTCTACTCGTTCTAACAATCACTGGGAGTGGAGTTTTGAACTCTCCAGCCATGATCGTAGATTTGTCTGTTTCTATTTTCAGTTCTGTCAGTTTTGCTTTGTGCATTTTGAAATTCTGTTATTAGGTGTATACACATTTAGAATTGATATGTCTTTGTGATGAACTGACCCTGTTAGCTCTGGAAACTGACTTCCCTTTATGCTTGATAATATTCCATTTCCTAAAGCTTTTTTTGTCTGGTATTAATATGACAAATGAATTAATAATTATAATTAATATAATACTTTGCGTAACAGTCTAACTCTCTTATATTTACTGTTGCATGGATATATCCTTTCATTGATAAAGTCCTATCTGGACTTTTACATCTAAAGTGAGTTTCCTGTAGACAGCATACAGTGGGTGCTTGCTGTTTTGTGTGGCCTGACAATCTCTGCTTTTTACTACAGCACTTATGTCATTTACATTTAATGCAGTAATCGATAGGACTAGGTTTAAATCTCCCATGCTGTTACTTGTTTTCTATTTCTCCCTTCTATTATTGGTTGCTTCTTCCTCCTTTCCTGGCCTCTTTTTTTCGCCACCACCGTACCTTGTATCCTCTTGTCCCTCTTCCTCACCCCCTCCCCTCAACCTCAGAGCCCTCAGGATGTGAGTGGACGTCCACTAGTTTTTGAAAGTGTTTTACATTGATTAATTGTTATGTGAATATCCAATATTGTTTGTATCATTCTGACTTAGTTTGATGTGTATAATTCTCTTGAATACTCTCCATTTTGTTGAAATTGGCTATTTTTTGTGGCTATGTAATATTCCATGGCCTATATGGATGACATCTTCTTGACCCACTGAGGGATACTTAGGCTGCCCCCAGGCCCCTGCTACTGTGAACTATGCTGTCAGGAATATTGTGGAACATGTGTGTATATTTGAATGTGTGTGTCTATATGTGGAGACGTGTGGGACACGTGTCCCCTTCCCAGTCTCACTTGTCGCTCAGGGACCTTCAGATGCATCCACTGCACTGTGGGGCTGCTCGGGTAAGGGGGGGGAGAGGAGAGAGACCCCGCTTTCTCAGCATCCACTCTTGACCCTCTGCTTGGCTGGTGCCATCCCTGTATGCAGAGGGGGTGGCTCTCCTCTGAGTGCTGGAGCTGGCCTGGGCTCCTCCAGCTTCTGGATTCCAGACTTACACAAAAGAGCTGCCACTGAGCAACAGCAATCAGGCCTTAATCACTGCCTGGATGCCCATCCTGGGCATGGTGGGGGGAGGCGGGGTAAGGGGAGGTGGAGGAGGGGGAGAGGCGAGAGGCGGGCAGGGTGTCTCTCCAGTTCCCTACACGTTTCCCCTGAGCTCACAGAAATCTGCCCGAGGCCAGTTCTGCTCCATGATTCAGAAATTCTATAACTTGGACTCTCCCTGGGTAAGTTCCTGTATTTGCAAAGTTCTCATTAATGCTTTGGGATCATCATGCCATCGTGGGCCCCTTAAATGTCTACCTACATGACCAAATATATGAAGCTGCCCACCAAACAGCTTCAAGCACATGTGCGTCCTTGCGAGGGGAGCCAGAGAGGTCCTCTCTGTCCCTCTACTAGTGGTGTCAAAACCCCCCAGTGTCACTGTCTCTTTGCCAAGTGAAGGGGCTTCTTTATTGTCTGTGCCCCCCACACCACCCAATAAGCTCCAGTCTGTCATTGTCCCAGAGAGGGGGGCCTTAGCTAAGTTAGAGGAGCCCCTCCTAGTATTATCTTCAGTCAAGGGGGAACAGAACAAAAGTGCCTGGAGACCCAAGATGCTGCGATCTCCCGTTGTCGTGAGCCCGCTCCTTATCCCGCGGCTGCCCCACGGATGTACTTTTAGGCCCTGTGGGCAGGGCTGGGTGACTTCCTGGCACTAGCCCCTGGTCCTGCAGCCCTTGCAACCTAATGTTGTGGAGGGGACCCTGGACTTGAGGTCCTCGGTCACTTAATGGTACGTTGCCTATCAGGAGCTGTTTCCCACAAATTGGTCACTTAAGCTCAGAGTCAACCTTTTA